AGTTGTGGGCTGTCATGTGGTGATAGGAACTGAAACTGGGTCCTTTACATGACAGCAAGCTCTTAATCACTGATCCATTTCTCCATCCCTAGGACATTGATTTTTTTTAAATTTTATTATTTTTATTTTATGTATATGTATGTATTGCCTGCATTTAGGTAAGTGCACCTGTGTCGTGCAATGCCCTCGGAGGTCAGAGAGGCTGTCAGATCCCCTGGGACTGGAGTTACAGACAGCCGTTAGCTGCCATGTGGGTGCTGGGATTCGAACCCAAGTCTTCTGCAAGAACAACCAGTGTTCTTAACCACTGAGCCATCTCTCCAGCCTGGGACATTGATTTTTATCAGTTTACCAGTACAAAAACAGTTTGGAGACTAAATTAACAAGTAATTGATAAACCTAGATACTGATTTTTTTTTTTTTTTTGTGCAGAGTCTCAAGCATGTTAGGCAAACATTCTACCATTGAGCTATATTCCCAGCCCTAATTTCTCTGTCTCTTTCTGTCTCTCTGTCTCTTTCTCTCTGGTGCTGAGGAGTGAGTCCAGGACTTTGAGCATGCTAGGCAAGTCCTGTACCACTAAGCTACAACCTCATCCCTTGCTACATAGCCCAAGGAGGCCTTGACCTCAGCTATCCTCCTACCTCCATTGCTGGGATTATAGGCATAGGTCATCCTACCTGGCTCTTAATTAATTAGTTGAGGTTTTGTTGTTGTTCTTGTTGTTTTGAGACAGGGTCTCACATTGCTGCCCAGGCTAGCCTGGAACTCACTATATGTAGCCCTGGCTGGTACAAATTTGAGGTAATCCTGCCTCAGCCTCTTGAGTGTGGGATTACAGGCATGGACCCCCATACCCAGCAATTTCTTAGTTTATGCTGATAAATTAAATTGTTAAAGAGCTAGAATGTCAGAAGTCCTGATGAGATGAATAGGCTTGATTTGAATAAAGTTATAAGGAGACCCAAATTGGAGATTTAGAAACACTTTCTCCTCTAGACAGAACTGAAACAACTCTGACATGCTATTATCACTTTGACTGTTCTTTTTCAAGTTGGCAGAGATCTTTCTTAGTTGCATATTATATTGAATAGGTCACAATGAGCATCACAAAAGTATAGTTAACTATAGTCCTCATTCCCTCAAGGAAATTTAGAGAACTCCACAAATACCTACCCAGCACATTTCCTAATCATTTCCATGGAATATTCTTTGCTATTTTTAATATTTATTATTTATTTATTTATTTTTGGTCTTTTTGAGACAGGGTCTTCCTGTAACCCCAGCTGACCTGGAACTTGATATGTAGACCAGGCTGGCTTCGAACTCACGGAGATCTGCCTGCCTCTGCCTACTAAGTGCTGGGATTAAAGATGTCCACCACCACACCCAGCTTTATTTTCTTAAATCTCACATGCAAGCTTTATGAAGTTCACAGCTGAGGAAACCAAGACTCAGGTTAGCTGATGTGCTCAAGGCCACACAGATGCATAGTAGCAAAGCTGAGCCAATGGACAGTTGTTAGCTGCCATATAGGTGCTGGGATTTGAACCCATGTTTTCTGCAAGAACAACCAGTGTTCTTAACCACTGAGCCATCTCACCAGCCCTCCAGCTTATTTATTTATTCTTATTTTATGTGTATGAGTGTTTTGCCTGCATGTAAGTACACCTGTGTATTCAATGCCCTCAGAGGCAAGAAGAAGGCATCAGATCCCCTGGAGCCAGAGTTATGAACAATTGTAAGCTGCCATGTGAGTGTTGGGAACTGAACCAGGAACCTCTTCAAAAGCAGCCAGTGCTCTTAACTGTTGAGCCTTTTCTCCAGTGTCCCCCATCCCCGTTTGTTTGTTTGTTTGTTGGGGGGCGGTTGAGACAAGATTTTATTCTCCTGTAGTCCAGGTTGGCGTCATGTAATTGTGACTGGCCTCGAACACCTGATCTTTGTATATCCATCTTCTTTCCTAGTGTTAGGATTACAACTGTGTGCCACCATGCCTGTCTTCTGGTGAGAACTTTAAAAGCTTTTTATTATGATAGCTGTTACACATATATAAAGCTAGATAGCCTATCTTCAACAGTTACCAACATCCTGATTTGTTTCATCTATCCTATCCTCCACCCCAGTGAATTCACAATTCCCTTCCCTGCCCAGAGTATTTTAAATTGAATCTCTAAGTCTTATCTCTAAATTCAGGTGTCCCTTATGTGGAAGGCATTGGACATACTGAGTACTCATGTTCTAATGTTAAAGCCCACATGCCAACTAAGCTTTAACTCTGAAGTTAAAATGGATACTGGATGTGAACAGACTGTAATCCTGAAAATTGGGATCTCTAGGAGAATCCTGGATCTTACCCCAGATCTATTGACTCAAATGTCTGGAAGGTAGGATCAGTGCAACCTGTGGATTTCAATGGTATCCAAGAACATTTGATTGAGAGGCTAGTTTTGAGAAATCATGACTGGATAGATAGTATTAGAACTGTTTGCTATGTTCCAGGGTCAGCTCAAAGTACAGGGGACCTGTCAGCTATGATAGGAGGCCAAGGATGGATTAGACCCCTGAAGAGGGAAGGAAAGTTGTATCTGACTTGAGGAGAGTGGATATTAGGTCCTGCTTTGGATCCTGGGGTTGGGTTGGGTGTGGATCTACACAGAATGACAGGGCTTAGAAACAAAGGGAAGGAGAGAAAAGATGAGCCAGGAGGCTGCTTTTGAGCTTCTGTCATGGGATGAGGGACAATGGGCTTTGAGGTGACCTGGGTGGAGGTGTTTGTTTGGTTTTGAAGATGTCAAAGAGGAGGAATCACCAGAACTGCTGGAATGCACAGCTGGTATTGCATGCAAATGCCACTTGCCCTGCAGTTAGTGCAGCTCTGGATCATGGGAGGTGATTCCACGGAGAAAAGGGGAATGTTTGGCAACAAAAAGGGTGGTAAGGTGGTAGGTCAACGCCTGACCATCTTTCAGAAGACACACTTTATGAGGGGCCAGGTTGGAAGGAGTGTCATAACCTTAACCTTTTCCTCTATTCCTTCACAACTCAACAGTTTAGACAGTGCTGAAGGTACCTGAACTTTGTGCTTCTGGAAAGCAGCTGAAGAATATCCCCATCCTGTGTTCATTTCTCAGCACCAAAAGGAGGGAAAAACAAAACAAAAAATAAGCCCAAGGCAATAGCAAGCCACACAAATAAAAGGTTAAATTTTATTATTTAAGCACAACAAAAACAATCCAGTTGAAGGAGAATATGTGGAAATAATTCTTCAAAACCATTAGAATCCTTATTCTGTACTGGTGGCAAAGGTTATGGGGTGGGGAAGCGGGTGGGCCTGGTATAGGAAATGAGTAAGAACTGTTTCTTATGGTGTATGAGTGCTCAATCTTGCTAAGGAAACATGTATAATCTGTTAATTGAGTTACATAATTCCAGTGACACACATTATAATAGACATGTGTACAGACTGATTTGAGTCAGGTTGTAAAGGGCCTTGGATGCTACACTTGGGAGACAGGATTTTATCCTATGGCAGTTGGGGTCATGAATGGTTTTATAGCCAGGGTATGACATGAATATATTTAACATACATCTGTTTTGAGTGGAGAGTGTAAAGATCAGTGGCTTTGACAACTTTAGAAAGTTGATCCTCTCTAAGGAAAGCTCATGTCTTATTTCTTTTCTGAAAATTTATTGGTGCTCAGGAAAGAGTTAACTTTGGTTAAGTCTTTTGGGAAGACATTGACTCTGATCTGGCAAGAGCTTTGTAGGAGATGGGGGTGGGAGTGGGGGTGGTGTGGCCATGCAAAGCATCCTCAGAGGTCAGAGAGGCTTACATGCTCTGGCCTGAGGGAGTCATCGAAGGCATCCAGGAGGAAGTTGGTGGAAAGGAGCAGGCTTCTGAAAGAGTAGGACATGAGCAAGCAGGTGAGGAAGCTGGAACCTGTTGATGAAACAAAGGTGCCATGGGCAGATGGAGGAGGACACGACGACGGCAACAACGGGGGATGGGGGATGGGACACAGGACGGGACAGGACACGGACTACGACGAGGATGACACATTTAAGTCTTTTTCCTAAAAATGATGGCAAATCATCAAGGGCCTTGTTAATAACAATGATGATGAATTGTGATGGACAGGTTGTTGTGGCTTGAAAGAAGCTGTAGAAAGGGAATAAATTGTGGTTTTCAATTCTTTCAGTTTGGCATACATTTAATTTCTATGACTGTCATCAGGTCAAGTTAGTTGATAGTGCGCTTCAATTTTTAATACATTTTATAGTTTTCCAGCTACTTTATTTTAATTAATTTTTGAGATAGGGTCTCATTGTAGCCTAGAGTGATCTCTAACTACTATGCTGATTTTGAACTCCCGATTTTTCTGCTTCAGTCTCCAGAGTACCGAGATTACTGGCATGCTCCACCACACCTGTCTTCTCCCCATATGTTTTTGTTTTTGTTTTTTGGAGACAGGGTCTCCCTGTAGCCCCGGGTGGCCTGGAACTCACTTTTGTAGACCAGGCTGGCCTCGATCTCACATAAATTCGCCGGCCTCTGCCTCCCGAGTGCTCTCCCTACATTTTAGGCAAGTCCTCTGCCATTGAGCTACAGTTTCGGCCCCTTCTAGCTACTTTATTTGTGGTTTGTCTGTTTCTGCTTTCATCTCTGTGTCCTCCTGATAGCTCCGCGGACAGACAGGTACATAACAGAGACGACAGAACATTTGTTTGGAACTGGGGAAAAATGTTTTATCTCTTTAAATTTACTATAGAACGCAGAAACAAAATAGGAGTCATTATATACATCAGCAGGCAGGGTGAAGCCTAGGACAAATGCAAATAAAGAAGTCTGGACATTTGGCAACGCCCTTTTCCTGGGTTGGCAAGGCAACTGTTAACAGAGAGCCAATCGGTGAGGAGCTCACCTGCGGGGGCGGGACTGACGACAGCCAATGGAATACGGGGCCGATGTTTCTGCGGACCAATAGGCTGGGTAACGGGGCGGGCTTTTTGATGAAGGGCCGGCCGTGGGAAAGATGGCGGTGGCTCTAAGATCCTTCTGGTGGCAGCGGTGGCGGCGGCGCCCATGGGCTCGGGATGAGGCCGGGATGTTGCTCCTTCTCCTTTTGCTGGGGTCTGGGCCTGGGCCTCGGCAGGTCAGGGCGGGGCAGGCGGTCGAGTACTTGAAACGGGAGCATTCGCTGTCGAAGCCCTACCAGGGTGAGACTCCCGCGGCGAGGTGGTCGCGCCGGGGAGGGCTGCGGGACCCGGCTCGGCAGCGCGGGTCGGGGTGGACCAGGTCCGGGTAGCCCGGGAGGTGCTGTTGTCCGCTGCGGGGCGTGCACTGCGGGCATGCACAGCTCGGCCGGGCAGGTGGGTCCGCTTTCCACCTCCCGCCCCTTTCCGAGCTCTGGAAGTTTCTAGGACATCTAGGCAGTGTTCCCAGATGCCTCCAGTGTCAGGCCCAGCGGAAGGAGGGCTTGGAGTTGCACAGAGTATGAGAAGGAAAGAGAATTGAGAATCGTGGTGATTGAGGATCATGAACACGTTAGTCGGAATGGAGCCCTGGAGGCGCTAGAAATAAAGCGGGAGAAAAATCCGGGGTAGAACTTGGACCGAGCAAGATAGCACATAAAAGTATGTTGATGGTTAGAATACCTGCTCCTCTTCCAGGCCTGGAGCCCTAATGGTGAAAGAGGCTGGTTAGCTTTCCTCCAAGTAGGGATTTCTAGGCCTCTGAGCACACCTCAAGGCCAGAAAATTGGCACAGAGAAATTAGTGTGCAGCTAGCTTAAAACACACCTGTTTCCCCCACTGAGGTGTGGATGGGGGTGTGGGTGTGTGTGCAGAAAACAAAAATTCAAAGTGCAGAATGCTGTTACACTTGCTAAAATGCCGTTCTTTGGCAGATGTGTTGAGCAACTCCTCAGTGTAGGTCTCTGCTAATGCTGTGGGTCAGAGAGATAGGTTTTCACCCTGGAGGTACTTGATCTGAGAATTGGGGGAATCAGCTTCACACTGTTTTATGGGCTTTTGAGGGTCAATCTCTTGGTGTAGCTGAGGAAATTCTTGTTCATTCATGATGCTAAAATTCACCCACATGTAAAATAGCAAGAATAGATTGGTGCAGTAGTTACTGTGGCATGCATATGTGGTAGGTCTGTGCTTTAGGGTCTTCTTCTGAAGGACTTTGCTAAAGAAAGCTGTAAATATGGGAAGGATTTAAGATTTATGAGGAGCCTGGTATAGTGGCAAGTACTTGTCCCAGTGAGGCAAAAGGATTGTTTGACCCCAAGAGTTCAGGACCACTCTGGACAATATATTGAAAGCCTATCTTTAATAAAAAAAAGTTTATTCTTTGTTGTAAAAGGAAAAAAAAACTAAATCACTCCAGCTTTTGAAGGATTTGTGGTGGCGTTTGAAACAGATGTTGAAGCGTTTCTTCCCCACAGGTGTGGGCACCAGCAGTTCCTCGATGTGGAATCTGATGGGCAATGCCATGGTGATGACTCAGTATATCCGCCTCACTCCAGATATGCAAAGTAAACAGGGTGCCTTGTGGAATCGGGTGGTAAGAATCTTCTTCCTGTGTTAAGACCCCGAACATCCTAAAAAGTTCAGAAGTGACACTGATTTTACTTCATTTGCTGGCATTTCCTCAGTAGTCTGTCTCTTAAAGATATGAAGGATCTTTGGTTTAGAGATTATGGTGAACTTCATAATAAAGAAAAGATATTTCTCTTGCCATAATTATAGTACATAATTCATTTTGAATTTGTTTTCAGAAATGTCTTTAATTTCTGACTGATGTTACCACTTCTTGGGATTTGGTAACTTATTATTTAATTACTTTGCTTCATGAAGCAAGAAACTACTGCTTGTTGCTATGGCTTATTTTTTGCTTTTTTTTAAGGCAAAGTCTTACTATGTAAGCCTTGAACTCACAGAGATCCACCTGCTTCTGCCTCCTGAGTGCTGGGATTAAAGATGTGCACCACCATGTCCGGCCATGAAATAAAAAAAAATTAATAAGTTAAAAAACAGAACAAATTTATCCCAAACTTAATCCTAGTAATCTTCCCTTGTTTTGGATTCGTGAGTCTAGCTTAAATCTCTATTTTTGTATGAAAACAACACTGAGCTATTAGTCATTTTGTTTGTCTCTCTCTGGACTTTTTCTAGCTACCTGTCTTCCTTGAGATATGGTGGCAAGAAGTGAATGCCTGGTGTGGCTGCTCTGTGATTTTGTATGAGTGTAAGATGACTCTTTTCAGGTTTCAGGCCCTTTCTAAGTCTTTACAGCCGTTTTACTTTTGGAGTGACTTTGGCATCTTTTAATGTTTTCTCTTGGACTCCTATAAGTGAAGAGAAAAAAAAATCTTTTAAATGTTTTTTCTCATTAGTTGTCCATGTTGATCCCAAATGGATCTCATGAAAGAGAACTATTTCTTTTCCCTATTCACTTTGAGTAACTGAATGCTAAAGGAAGAGGTGGGGGTGGTAGGAGAACTTCCTCTGTGAGTTCTCTGCACAAGGTGGCCCTGTAACCCAGATTGTGATGCTGAGCTAGTTTTGGGCAGAATATAAAGATTGTTAGAAGATGTTTAAAGCAGTTGATGGTGTTGGATTCTAAATCCAGCTTGGTGGCTACCATTGAGCCCTGGGCATGTTGTTTAACCTCTCAGTTTCTGTTTCTCCACCTGTCAGATGAGCATCATAATATCAGTGTGACTTACCCACCTGCGTTGTGGGAATACAACTAGACAGGGTATAGGAAAGACTTTGCAAAGTTCACTAACATGGCTGCATAAATATATCCTGTTATTATACCTGCTCTAAGTTTCATTGATGAGTTATTAAGTGATTATGTACAAGGCTTAATGCTTTTGCCTTACTAGCTAGTTCTCTATTTCTGCATAACTCTTTTTAGCAGCAATTATAGTGTAGAATTTAGTTCTCCTGTCCTTTTTAAAAATTCTCTGATACATATATATACACACATATATATATAAATATTTTTCTGTTATGTGTATGAGTGTATTGCTTACATGTATGTAAATGAACTTACGTCATGCAATGCCCATGGAGATCAGAAGAAGGCATTGGATCCTCTGGAACTGGAGTTAATGGTTATTAGCCGTCATGTGGGTGCTGGGAATTGAATCCGAGTCCTCTGCAAGGGACATCCTTAACCACTGAGCCATCTCTCCAGCCCCTGATACACACACACACACACACACACACACACACACACACACACACATATATATTTTTTGGTGTTTTTGAGACAGGGTCTCCCTGTAGCCCCAGCTTTCCTGGACCTCACTATGTAGACCAGGCTGGCCTTGAACTCACAGAGATCTGCCTGCCTCTGCCTCCCAAGTGCTGGGACTACAGGCGTGCACCACCACACCCAGCTGATACCTATATTTTTATCAAAATGAGCTAAGTAATTATTTCTGAGTTATTTGAGTAGAATACATTTGTTTGAGCGTGGTTCTCAGAGTTGGCTGTGCATTGGAGTTGATCCTGAGTCTCACCCCTAGGGATTCTTATTTAGTTGGAATACCCTATAATAGTGCTTGGCCATTGGGATTATCAAATGGACAGCAAAGTTTTAGAAACATTTTGGACATTGCTGTAAGCAAACTTATATAGCATGATGCTATCCAAGGACAAGAATTTAGTGGTAGATACCTCTTGACTCAGTGTGAGCTTCTGTGGCCCTGCCCTCCTCTCAGGGCCATAGTACTACCTACTGACCGAGGGACACCTTTCAGCTATTGAAATCTAAATGAAACAACAGAAAGAGAACCCAAAGTGACAAGATACACTGGGCTTACCTGAATAGGGCCAAGTGCCTCCCTAAACTAAATACTGTACATACTGGTTTCTCCTTGCAGCTGTTTGATGCTTTAGAACACTTTACTAGCCTCTTGCTTCCTCCTGTGTTTTTATAAGGTTTTGGTACACGATTCCAAAAGAGGACAAGAGTCTGGGTACCAACTACCTCCTTAATGTTTCCCCATGGAGGCTATCCCAATGAAAGGGGAGGGTGTTTACCTCTGGCACATTTATGCTTCTTGGCCATGGGCACAAAGGTTTGGGGGACCATAACTTCCATTCTCTTGGGAACTTAAGCTTCCCCCTTAGCTTGGCAGAATGCCAGCTTTAGCTAATTAGAATTGTTTATAGCATCTGCTAATGATTCCTGGAAACCTCCGTGTGATGACTTAGTTTTTCTTCCCCTCTTTTAATGACTGAGGTTTTGACCCTTTTTTTTTTTCAATCTCAGCTTTTTTTTGGTCAGAGAAATGATCTTCAGTTGCAAACGAGTACTAAGTCAACCATGTTTACTCACTAAGCTGGGATTCTCTGCTGGGTAGATATAGGATCATTGTAGACTTTTTTTTTTTAACTTGCATCTACTGTTGTTTCTTTTGGGAGAAAGGAAGGTAATCAGTGGTTTACTCACTTTTCATATATAATATCTTAAATAGTCAAATGGCCCAGTCTGTCAATTTTAAGATAAGAGCGTTTTTTTTTTTTTTTTGAGATGGGGTCTCCCTGTAGCCCCAGGTGTCCTGGAACTCACTATGTAGACCAGGCTGGCCTTGAACTTAAAGGCGTGTGCCACCATGCGCAGCAAGATAGGAGCATTTTTAAGCCTTAGGTTTGGGTTTTAGCTCCTTAGCCTTATTACCAAGGCTGTTCTCCAAGTCTGTAGGCTGTTGCTGAGGGCTTAATGGGTTTTGCATTTCCCACTGCTCACTTACTCAGTGTCTTTCTCATTTTAGCCATGTTTCCTGAGGGACTGGGAGCTGCAGGTACACTTCAGGATCCATGGACAAGGGAAGAAGAACCTGCATGGGGATGGCTTGGCAATCTGGTACACAAAGGATCGAATGCAGCCAGGTATTAGGGACCCTGGGCTGCTCCTGCATGGGTGTGGTAAACCTGCTTTTTCCTGTGCCCTCTTTTTGAGAAGGGTCCTTCCCTCTAGTTTCCCTGTCCCTTGATGTCTATGAATGAACATTGGCCTGTTTAGTCCCCTGTTTAGAATGGGGTCTGAATCCTAATAAGTGACCCAAACTTGGCTCATTCTGGGGCAGTTTCTTGCTTGTTAGTTTCTTCTGAGTTTTCTTGTGAAGCCTGGCCCATTGACTGGATGAAAAGCTCTTCTGAACATTGATGGTTAGTGAGCTGGTTTCTTCTGAGCCTGTACACTGAATGATCTCAGTACTTCTGAGTCAAAAGAAGAGTTATCTATTTTCCTTGCTGTGCTGGAGCTGTTGCTCCAAGTGGATGGCAGGCTCAACCTGACTTGACCTGATCTCTTTTGCAACAAGAAGTAGAGCTTGGGAATTCAGTTCTCTCTTGGGGGCGGAATCTTTACTGAGTGTTTGTGAAGCAGAATTCTGTAGGTAGGGGCTCCTTAGCAACCAGTTTGGATGGAGCTGCTCCAGTGCCAAACAAGGTTACAGTGGCCTTCCCTCTTTCCCTGCCTTCAACAACAAACAACTATAGATGTTTAGTGGGCACTGCTGTAGGCTTCGCTCTTTGCTGGGTACTTTTATGTATGCTCATCTTAAGAAAAGTCATTTGAATATCACCTTTTCCTCTGTCACAGTGTGATATTATTCCTTTGTCAACTCTTGGCTTTATTTCATTGTTCATCATCTGTTCTCTCTCTCTAGGGCCTGTGTTTGGAAACATGGACAGATTTGTGGGGCTGGGAGTATTTGTAGACACCTACCCCAATGAGGAGAAGCAGCAAGAGGTAATGGCGAGTGTCAGAGCTTAGGTCAGCTGCACTGACATCATAGTTCTTTCCATCAGGAGCAATGTGCAGGAGGGACAGGGGAGAGACAGAGAGGTTCTTCATCCATTGACCTTCAAAAGTTAATGTCCTTGGCAGTATTTTTTTCTGGAGAAAACTATTTGTGATCTCAGCAGTCCTTTGGGAATAACTGTCAGTGGGTGATTTTTCTGTAGTGTGAGCTGTGCTCTCTCTCATTTACATCACTGAAATTGAGCACACTTGGCTGGTGGTGTTTTTGCTACTAGATCAGCACCAGAGGAAGGGGATTTGTGTCACACAGCCCCCCTGACTTTAAGCCATCACTGCTGTGCTCTCTTCTGCCACTTTCCCACCTACCCAGCAGCTTTTTCTTCTGCTCAGACTTGAATAGCAATTTATTCTATTTAAGAAAGGATATAAAGGCCAAGGTGGCATGCGCCTTTAATCCCAGCACTGGGAGGCAGAGGTGGGTGGGATCTCTGTGAGTTCAAGGCCAGCCTGATCTACATAGCGAGTTCCAGGCCAGCTGGGGCTACAGAGAGATGCTGTCTCAAAAAGACCGAAAAAAAAAAGGGGAGGGGGATATAAGTAAAAGGAAGTTGATGAAACTGAAGTATTTATCTATCTATGATAAGGTCTCACTCTGTAGCCCAGGCTGACCTTGAACTAATCACAATCTTCATACCTCAGCTTCCTGAGTGCTACAGATTAGAATTACAGATGTAGACCACCATTCCTGACTCAAATCCAAGCATCCTCATGGGAACCCAGTGTCTAGCCATTAGCAGAGCTTCTTGCTTTTTTTCTTTTTAGCTATCCCTAAGGGTTCTTAGTGCTTTCTTATATTTGCAACAGAGTTTTCTGTCCTGTGGCACTGCCATCAAATGGTAGAAAAATAATTATGACAGGTTGTTACTGGCTGTTCTACAGAAGGCAGATTAGGAATGAAGATAGAGATCACTTTTCTCCCCCCAAAAGTTTATTATAAGAAATTTAAAACTTGAATAATGGCCACTATATACGCAATACTTGGGGTTAGCAGCCAGCATTTCCCACAATGCTCACTTTAGAGGAGGTGGAAAATGGGACTTGAGGTTGGGTGAGCAATCTTTTGTTGTGGGTCAGTTAGAGTTATGTTTCCATGTTCCTTCTGGGCTCCTCTTCATTCTTGAAATCCTTGATAGGTGCTTGGGCATGGGAATTACTTAGCAAGACCAGCATAGTCCCTTGTATTCCATAGCATGGAAAATGCATCAGGGCAGTATGATTCTTCTTTACCAACAGGTAAACAGCCTTCGAGAAGATGTCATGTTCAAGGTAACAGCCATTATAAGGTGATGCACGGGTCCAAAAGTCCTGAGGCTGATTTTGATTCAGGCGCTTTAACTTCCATGCATACATTTTGTTTTTCTTCTCAGTTGATTTTTGTTCTTGAGAGCATTTTCATGTATATGATTTCAGTTTCTAGTGCTTATATTCACTCCAGAGAAAAATATCCTCTTTTCTACATCCCAACAGCCTGTTCTGGAGCTACCTTAGAGGGTGAAATCAAATGTGTTTTGTCAATGACATAGCTTACTTTGATGTTGTACACGGGGTGCTAGGCAGTGTTCTAAGCATGTTCACATATGTTGTTGTAACAATCCTTTGAAGGAGATATTATCTCTACTTTATGGCCACAAAACTGAAGTTGGGGGCTGAGTGCATGTTAGGTGGCTCACAACTGTCTGTAACTCCAGCTCCAGGGGGATCTGACATCTCTGGCCTCTGTGGGCATCTGCACTGACATGAATATACTCAGACATGTAATTTAAAAATCACAAAAGTAAATATTAAAAAGAAAAAGAAATTAAAGTGCATGAAGAAAGTTTGTAAAGCTTGTTGGTCTCATACAGATAGTAGATCTGACTCCAGAAATTCCACTTCAGTTATTTTGGTTTCTTAGATATGGTGACAGAAGCAAAAACAACAAAAGAAAATGTAGATAAATTGGTCTTCATCAAAAATAATAACTGCCAGGCTGAGCATAGTGGTGCACACCTTTAACCCCAGCACTCAGGACTCAGAGGCAGGTGGATCTCTGTGAATTCAAAGCCAGCCAGGGATACATAGTGGGACCCTGTCTCAAAATAATAATAACAACTATGTGCTTCAAGTCTCACTATCAAGAAGAGGGCTGGTATTATAGCTTAGTGGGAGACTGCTTCATATATACAAAGCCCTTGATTCACTCTCCAGTCTGAGAGCGCTCCAAGAAAGTGAAACCACCAGTGGAAGGGGTGGGACACACACACACACAACATGTGCAAATCCTACTGGGGACCTTTTCTAGAATATATGACAAACTATTACAACTTAATAAAAAAGATGGGACTAGAGAGATGGCTCAGCGGTTAAGAGCACTGACTGTTCTTGCAGAGGACCCGGGTTTGATTCCCAGCACCCATATGGCAGCTACCAACCGTCCATAACTCCAGATCCAGGGGATCCAACACCCTCTTCTGACCTCTGTGGGCATTGCACAACACAGATGCACTCACATGCATGCAGGCAATACACTTATACACATAAAATAAAAATAACAAATAAAAAGATTGGCCAGACAAAAAATGGGCAAAGACTCTGAATAAATGTTTCTCTAAAGAAGATAAATAAATGGCCAGTGAACATGAAAAGATACTCAGTATCATTAGCCATCAGGGAAAAGGAAATAAAAACCACAGATACTCAGCCACTAGGATACATAAAAAATAGAGATGTAAGTGTTGAAAGGATGTGAGGTCATTTGGAACTTACATATACTGCTGGTGGAGATTTAAAATGCTACAGTTGGAAAACAGGCATTTCTTCAGATGGTTGAAAATAAAGATTGTATGATCCAGCAAGTTCACTGGTATATATGAACTAAAAACATCTACACAAGTGTTAATAGCAGCCCCCAAACAGATACCCCAGATGTTTATCAGCTGAACTATTCAGCAATAAAAAGAAGTGTTGGCATGGGTTCCAACACGGGTGACACTTGGTTATGTGAAAGAAGCCAGTTCAAGAGACCTGTTTGTTGTATGATCCCATTCCTATGAAATGTCCAGAGTTGTCAGATCTACAAAGAAAGGTAAATGAGTGGTGGTCTAGGGCTGTGGCTCTGGGGTGGGGAGGGCAAGAGTGACTAGCACTATGGTCACTGATTATTTTTTATGGAGTGATAAAAATGTTCTGAAATTTTGGTAATCACCTTAACTTTGCATATACCCAAATCCATTGAATACATGGTTTGTGTGGTATATGAATTATATCTCAATATTGTTGCTGTTTTAGAGATGTTTGAAAAATGACTTGATCATCTTTCTTGGCACCATGAACCAATCAGCTGATGATCATCAGTTTCCCATGTGAACCCAGATGTTGGTGAAAATTTCAGGAAATTCAGTAGCCGTCTTGTGGTGCACATGTCTTCTTTCAGTTGAAATCAGAGTCTAATGGCAGTTGACTTCCTGGATTGACAGCACAGAAGTACAGCTGTTGGCAGTGTTGGTCCTCATTCTTGTCCAGGACATGTTTGAGCCTCATCCATTGGAGGCAGAAATAGATGGTTGGGGAGTGGGATGGACAGTTCTCTGATCTTCTCTGATAAGGCAATGTGGAAGTCTTGTTTGAGGCACTCCCCATGTTTGTTTTTTTTAATGTAATGATTGTTTTTTCTCTTTTGAACTGGAAGAAAATCAACACTGATGTCTCATCTAGTTTAAAAACATATTCTGGTTTGGGGAAGTAGTTCAATGACAGTATTCATGCCTCGAAATAGTAGAGAGGGCCCTGGGCTTTGTCCTGAACCTCCCTCCCTCTACTCCCTCCCCTTCTCATCTCCTTCTTAGATGCCCCCAACACACACACAAATACTAAGCACATTCCCCCAGCCTACTTGGTCTTTTTGCTTTTTGGCAGAGGGAGTTTCTATATTAAGGGAACTTTATAACTTCCTAAGTTTTCTTGTAATAAAACTTAAATGTGACTCAGGTTTTTTTCAGCTTCTTAGATCATGAATCTGTTCCAAGTATATAAATGTCTGGAAGTACTGCTTTTCCAAATCCTTTGAGGAGCTGTGAGACCCAAAGTTAGATTCACTAGATTAATGGTAGGCTAATGGTAGTTCAAGGCTGATGGTGTAATGTGGTGAGACTCTCACTGATATTGTTCCCTACTCCAAGTAGCATAGGTATTGCTCAGCTAACTTATCTCCTTTTTCCCTGGCTTCCTGCATAAAGGGCTAGGTAAGGAATACTCCAGGCCAGCAGCTTCTGGTTTTGAAGAGTAGCAGGGGTATGTAGAACTGGTGCAGAGTGCTCCACTTGTAGCCTAGGAGGGCTAAGTGCAGGACTTGGGCAGGTGTAGGCATGTGTTTCGTGTCTAGCCTTGTCTAGTAGAAAAGGCATTTGGCTCTTTTTGTATAAAAACTCATTACAGAAGAACCAGAACACACTGAAAAAGACAAGACTGCAGCCATATTTTTACAAATAAAAATGCTGCATCATATATAGCACACACTGTTTTTAAAAATACAGTTTTGAAGATTTCCAGACATAGAAAAACAGAGTATGAATACTAGATTCAGTTTAGTCTTTGATAAAAGTTTTAGCTGGATGTGGTGACACATGCATTTAACACCAGCACTCAGGAAGCAGAAGCAGGCATATCTCTCTAGTTTCAGGCCAGCCTGGTCTATATAGGACAATTCCAGGTCAGCCAGTGCTACATAGTAAGTCCCTTTCTCAAGCAGACAATCAGAAAAAGTGTTAAATTTATAGATTAAGTTAATGTGACAGAGAAGTCTAGAATATATTCACTGATATTACCCAGACTGGTATCCAATTGGTACCAGGTGTTCTTCTTGCCTCAGTCTCCTGAGTAGCTGGGAGTTTAGCATGGTCACTTTGCCTCTGTTCTTGTATTTGTGTGTATGTACCTGCCCTCACTTGCTCATGCACGTGTGCGTTCTTTTTTCTTAACTAAGAGTAAATTGTGTTCCTGTTACTTCCTTAATCCTAAATATTTGTGTGTGTTTTTCTAAAAATGAGGAATATTGTTACTTAACCTCAGTACAGTGATTAAAGTCAGGAATTTAACAATGATAAGCTACTGTTATCTCATCTTCAGGCCTTATTCAGATTTGCCAATTGCCCTATTAAGTCCTTTTGTTTCTTTTGAGATAGACTCTCCCTATGTAGCTCTGACTGTCCTGGAACTTGCTATGTAGACCGGACTGGTTTCTCCGCCTGCCTGTATCTGCCTCCCAAGTGTAGGGATTAAAGGCATGTGCCACCACACCCGGCTTTTTTTTTCTTTTCTTAATATTAAGGAATAGTGTTCATTTTATATTCTCACAGGCATTGGCTGTGAGATGGAGACATTAACAAAGACTATTAGAGCAGGGCGGGTAAGAGTAATTAATAAATGTACTCATTGCTCATAACAGTTCTGTGAAATAGAAGAGCAGGCATTGTCCTATTTTATTTAAGAGGAAAATGGGAGGTTTGACTTAAGATTGGCACAACCCTAGGCCATCTGACTTATGACATCCTAGAATGTGTTATAGGCAGGATGGGGATGAGGGAAGATGCTCAAGAGGAACTGCCGCACTGTTTAGAAATTCACTGCTTAAAAATCTTAAAGATCTTAAAACACTTTCACATGCAAAGAGCATGAAATCCCTCCCCCTGTAATCACAGAGTGGCAGAGGTCTGCTTGCAGAGATGAGCTGTGAAGGTCTTTGTGCATGATGCCAAGTAGAAACCAACCAGACAGAGAACAGGATTCTGTCCCTGAAAATTCACTATGGCAGTGGCTGATTCATAACAATTTAGTCTTTGAATATATAGATCAATTTAAATAAACTCCCAATTTGTTTTTATTTACTAGATTCACAATGCAAGCTCTTTTCCCAAGTGGGAAGGAATGAGTAATATTCCTTTAGAGGGTTCTTTCCAAATAACACATGCACGTACAGGGCTGTGCTTTAGAAGCAATTGATTATCACAGTACTATACTCACAAGATCTGTGATGTTTTGGAGCCAAACTTTGGTTTGAGATCTTGAGTGCATTTCTGAATACCTGGGTTCTCTTGGACAAGCTTTCTTACCTGTAAAATGAGGATGCTACAGGCTAGCAAGATGACTTAGCTGTTGATGGGGCTTGTCGCCAAGCATGACAACCTGAGTTGATCCTCAGGACTCACATGGTAGCAGGAAAGTCCCAACTTCAAGGTTGTCCTCTGACCTCTACATGTATGCCATGGCATATGTGCTCTCCCCTCCTCTGAAAATAAATAATGTAAAAAAACCCCAGGAGATTACTAGTACTAGCTTCTGGGGTTGTGAGAATGACATGGAAAAGAGGGAGCACTCAGTAAATGCTACTGTTACTCATTCCATTAAATGGACTGACTCCATGGAAACATTCAACAGACATCTTGGCGTCGTTGGAGCAGCAGTCTCCTTTCTTTTCCCCTCCCTTTCCATCACATCTTAGTTGCAGAGAGGGAACACGGCTGTCTCTAGCGTGGCTTGGGTTGGAAAACATCTCCTTGAAAGAGTGGCTCCTGTGTGCTAGTTTGGGAACTTAGGTTGTTATTATCAGAGCTTCTACTGATCCAAGACCATGTCACAAATGAATGAATGAATGAAATAATATAAAAAATGTATTCATGGGATTGAGGATTTAGCTCAGTTGGTAGAGTGCTTGCATAGCATGTATGAAGCCCAGGGTTTGATCCCCTGCTCCACAAAAAACTGGACATATTGGCACATGCTGTAACCCTAGCATTTGGGAAGTACAGACAGAAAGATTAGAAACTGAAAGCCTTCCTTAGCTACATAGAGAGTTTTGTGCTAGCCTGGGTTATATGAGACCTGATCTCAAGAAACAAAAACAAATATGTATTCCTGTGCTCCATTCTAGGCTATGAAATTCTTTGCCAGGGTACCCTCATACACACACAGGTGAACCAGGGGCCCAGCTTACTGCTGGCTGTTGCTGGGTAATTAGATGTCACATTAGCTTTGGAAAGAGTTAGGCATTCTTAGACTAAGGATTGCTGTCCTGAGCACTCTGTAAAATTTTAAGTTAAATTTGTGATTGGAGATGACAAATAAAGCAAATCTTGGGGTCACAAAGCAACCCAGGATATTTTTAATCCCTCCCTTTCCTTAATTGTTCACTGAAGTTAGGAGCTTTCTCAGAATCCCCTTTCTGTGAACTGCTTAATAACATGTTGGCAGACCCTTTATTCTAAATGACAGTTGTACAAGAGTCATTTTATGGCGACTTAATCATCCACAGATGGACTGCATGGCTCTCTGGGTCTGGGTTCTTGTATATGTTCTGACTGATTTTCAACATCTAGAAAGCTGTGCTGGGGCCTCCCCTACCTCCGTACCCTGATCCACGAGGCTGGTATGCTGCTGCTGCTGCCTGATCTCACACCAGTCTCTTTTACTCACTGACTGGGTTTCTGAAACACCTGTCATCTTCAAATTCCTTAAATATTCCAACATCATGCTTCTTATGTACCAGGTCTTGTGGTGGACTCTTTAATTACTTGGGTCTGATCTCAGAGCACAGATTCTTTATCAGTCTCTATCATATTGCTTTTTACTTCATCGTAGAATCTATCACTATCTGAAATAATTTTATTTATTTGGTTACTGTTTCTTCCACTCTGCTGTTATCACCATGAGAACAGATACCCATCTGGCCTGCTTCCCACTTTTGTCATAAGTGCTCACTAAAGATGAGAAGAGTGCTTTGGGCTCTACCCTCCCCCACCCTCTCATGGACAGGGCTGAGCTGAGCTTGTACAGGTTTCTTTTGATGTCAGTAGTTTATAACTATAGAGATTGCTAGAACAAAGCTAAATGCCCGCAAGCCTGATGATTTTCTAAATCTTATGCTGTGACGGTCCCATGGAGCTTCTCTCTTGCCCTTGTGTTGTAGGTTAGAATGACAGCAGTTATTTGGAAATATATATCCATGAGGCTCAATTAGAGGGTAAATGATCCCTTTGGATTAGAGTTAATTTCATGGTTTCAAACAGTGGGATTTTTGTCTTATAGGCAAGAACTGTGTCTTGAGACCCCTGGCAGTACAAGACTGCTTGAATTAGAATTTAGCCTTTTCTGTCTCTCTCTCTTTCTTCCATTGCTATAGAAATATAGTAGTCTGCGTACAGACAGACTTGTTTGGGGCTGTTTGACTCCCAGAGACATAACTAGGTTGTGTTATAGTAGTGCAAGACTGTTTTATAAAGCTTCTTAAAACTTCAGGTCTCTCCATGGGACAGCAAGGCTTTCCCAGTAGACTCTAATGACAGCACAAAACCTTCTCAAAAAGATGAACAAGCACCTGTGCATATACTTTTGCATATATTTTAAGAGCTTCAAGAACTTGCTGAATGCCCCTAAAACTCTTTTTGGGGATTTAGATTGGTGGTTTGTTCACCACAGCTGGATCAGAGCTCTTCCATGACTGTCTCTTTCTGACTTGGTCTCCTGTGTTCTGTGTCCTGTCTGTTTTTGTAATAACCTGCTGGACCCTCTCAGGCCCAGAAGAGGCGCTATTCTCCAGGAGTCCAGGTACTTGATTCCTGACCCATGTCCATCCCTTTTTCTCATGTGTCCATCCAACATTTGTTACTGCTTAAGAGTCCATGTGGCTGTTGTCTCAGGAGTCCCAAGTCTCTGGTCTCTGCATCTCTACCTTGCATGTTGACTGCCTACGACAATGGACCTTGCCCTAGGAGCGGCATGCCTCATCGTCCCCTCCCCTTTCATCACCCTGCCTCTCTGCACTGCATTGCACTGGGCTTGTTCTGGAATGGTTATCTCATTAGTTGTAAGGAAGAGTTTACTTTAACTGTGTTGGAGAGAGAGGATCGCTCGAGTAAGTGAGTGGGAAGCTGAGTAGGTAATGAGGAAACTGTCTCTGTTTTCTCTGTATGTGGGAAGAATGTTGCCCTCTTACTGTCAGTATTCTTCGGAGAAGTTATATGTGGATGGGCTGAAAGTGTTGCCTACAAACAGTCATTATGGCTCGATAGGCTTACCCAGGAGCCTGTTCCAGCAGTGCTTTCTGAGTTCTAATCCATTTAGCATCATATGCTGGTAGAATTTTAGAGTCTGGAAGGAGCTAGCCTGACTGGAAAGGTTTCTCTGCTTGATCAGACAGGCATTTCAGAATCCCTGCTCTGTGAAAACACGTTGCCTCGGGCAGAGGGATAGGTCTGAAGTGGAGACCTGGAAGATGATTTTTTTATCTTCAAGAAGCAGTTGGGGAGTAGGTTTATATCCAGAAAAAGGAAATTCCTATGTATACAAGTGCCAAATGGTGATTGATGGGAGGCATGGAGTCAAACTCCAGAGCCTTGCAGGGGCCACTTCAGTTCTGCTCCAGGTCTACAGCAAGGAGACTTACTAATGGCAAGTATGGAGTTCAGTACTTCCTGGGTCCATATCTCTTGCGTGATCATCTGTATGTGGGTGCTCAGGGCTGTTTAAGATGAGCCAGATTGGGTGTCTGGCCTGCTCGTCTGGAAGAGGCTCAGTTTATAATACTTACAGTTCCTGTCACTGTTTGTGCAGGCATTGCTAGGAGCTCTTCCTCACTGCCTCTGCTTTTCCCTCCCTGTGTGCCAGCGGGTATTCCCCTACATCTCAGCCATGGTGAACAACGGCTCCCTCAGCTATGACCATGAGCGGGATGGACGACCCACAGAGCTGGGGGGCTGCACAGCCATAGTGCGCAATCTCCATTATGACACCTTCCTCGTGATTCGCTATGTCAAGAGGCATCTGACGGTGAGTTTCTGTCCTAGAGCATTTGGTGACACAAGCTCTTTCTACTCCTGTGGCCTGTTCTAATACACATCTCTTCTTTATTCTAGATAATGATGGATATCGATGGCAAACATGAATGGAAGGACTGCATTGAGATGCCTGGGGTCCGTCTGCCCCGGGGCTATTACTTTGGCACTTCCTCCATCACTGGGGACCTCTCTGGTATTGCTGTGTACACAGTCTTCCCTGTTGAATGCCTTTTGTCAGTGTTCAGACCTTGGTGAGGCCCCCTCAGAGGAAAGTCAGATGAACAGAGCTCTGGAAAGCATATGCAGATGATGGCCTGAGAATGGCCTGAGAATGCTACATACTTGTGTCCAGGCTCTTCTGGTCCACTGGTATCCAGGAGCGAACAGGAAGCAGTGTCTGCCTCAGCCTTGGCAGCTCTTCCCGCCTGTTTTGAGGACCTTGCTTTCCAACCTCCTCTTCCCCATTGTCAGGCTTGTCTCCCTGCTTGTCTAGTGTGCCCAGTTCCCTTCTCTTCACAAAGCCACTTCTTTGCTCTGCCATCCCTCTTCTAACTAACGCTCTATCTTTTCTGCTCTGACTTTTGAATGAATCATGTGTGCAGTTTCCTAGCTGTCTACCTCCTCCCACTCTGTGCTTGGACCTGTATCTCTCTACCTTGCCATTAACACTGCTCTTGTAATGATATCTTCTGTTTCCTTGCTGTGCACAGTGCTGTTCTTTGCCTTCCCTTGAACCCTCTTCTGCTCACCATCACTCTGAAACACTTGCCTTCCTTGACTTACCTGTCATCAGTACCTGGGTTTCCCACTTCTGTCTCCTCAGGCTTCTCTTCTACCTGTCCTCAGCTCCTAACTTCTTTGTAGATGTCTTCCCTTCACTGTCAGCCCTAATCATGTCTTTTGGGAAAAAACATTTGAACTCTTGGTGTTTTTGATTATGTTATGTATCATTGATAAAACTTGGTTTTGGAATAGAACTGTCTTATGGCAAAGTAGAAAGGCAAGTACCCATCTGGAATGGGCAGTGGCTCCAGCCCACCTTTCAAAAGGAAATGTGGCCTCAATGAAACTGGATCTTTTGGGAGATACTAGAAATCTGAATTTTAAAAATGAAATCCTGTGACCCTGGCAGCCAATTTAAAAAATCTACTTTATAAACTAACCTATAGAAATATAAATTTTTGTTTTTGGAGCTTTTTATTTCTTGATTTTTTTTTTTTTTTTAAAGATAGTCTTACTATGTATCCTAGACTGGCCCTGCCTCAATCTTCTAAGTGCTAGAGTTATAGGCACATACCACAGCATCCAGCATATTCTTGCTTTTTAAGCAAGAACATGTTGAGAAAATTTCTCATCTGTCCCAGGCTTTGATCACCCTACCCTGTCTGGGCTACAAAATGAGACCATATCTCAAAAGAGAAAGATTTTTAAAAGGGGGGGAGGGGGCTGAGAGATGGCTCAGTGGTTAAGAGCACTGGCTGCTCTTGCTGAGGACCCAGGTTTGGTTCCCAGCACCTACATGGGGGCTAACAACTGTTTGTCCTTTTATCTGTAATTCCAGTTCCAGGGGATCCGACACCCTCTTCTGGCCTCTTGCAGGCATTGCATGTACAGGTACATGTACATACATGTAAACAAAACACTCATACACATAAAATAAAAATAATAAATATTTGTAAAAGAAAAGGAAAGATTGATACTATTTATTGTAGCTTCTTTAATGCAGTAAATCAGCACCCCAGTTTCTTAGCTTTTTGGTCTCTTAATGCCAATTCCACTAAAGGAGAGCAGAACTTCCTCAAGAATTGGCTGATTCTGAGATGAGAAATGTACATACCTAGAACATCCTAGAAAAGCCAGTTCCAAAACAAATAAAAGCAAACAACCTCTGAGTTCATGTAAAAAAGACTGAGGAACCAGCTTGAATAGAATCCCACTGACAAAGATGGGTTGAGTTTGAGCATCACAAAATAATGTCAGTGTGTTGAAGCATTTAAATCTGAGTTCATAATAATACCTTAAAAAGAGAAGTTGGGCCAGGTGTTGTGGCATACACCTTTAATCCCAGCAGTGAGGAGGCAGAGGCAGGCAAATCTCAGTGAGTTTGAGGCCAGCCTGCTCTACATTGTAAGTTCCAGGCCAGCCATGGCTACATAGTGAGTTTAAAAAAAAAATTCAGTCTTGGTGGCTCACACCTATAATCCCAGCATTCAGGAAGTTGAAACAAAAACTCAAGGGGTTTGAGGCTAGTAGCCTGGACTACATAGGGAGGCCCTGTCTCCTAAAACCAAAAAGAAACCAGATAAAAGAAAGAGTAGGGCATAGGCATGGTATTAAACAGAGATGATCCTAGCCTTCAGGAGGCTGAAGTAGGAGAATCATGAGTTCAAAGCCAACCAATGCTTCACTGTAAAATTCTGTATTACATCCATGTACATACATAAACATACACAGAAAAAGGAGAGAAATCTAGTCTCTAGTTTTGATCCTTTTTTTAGTAATATTAGAGAGATTCAGGGTCAGTATTCCAAGGAACCACAAAGAAATAGGCAGAGTCTAGAATCAGCATCTTTCATGCCAGTAATGTTGCCCTGACTGAGGCCCATTGAACAGATGCTAGAAGACCATTTCCTCTGTGTGTCTGCCACCAAGAGGAGGACGCTGCAGTGCTGCTGTTTCCTCTAATTTCTAGGAGGTTTTATGTATGTTATGGGATTTAGTTATTTTTAATATTTTGAATATATTAATTTTAATATTTAAATTTAAATATTTTAATTTTAAATATTTTAATATTTTTAATATTTTAATCATTTTTAAATGATTTTTATTTTACTGAGTTTTATGTATTTCCTGTAGTAGATCTTAATTAAATGTAGAGCCCGTCCCCAATCCCTGCCCCTCCATAGCACCCCCACCCCACCCCCCACCCCAATTTCGTGCATTCTGTCATATATGCTAAGTCCTGTCTGGTCAAGCATTTGTACCTGGATGTCCCTCAATGCAAGTTCATCCACTGGAGTCTAGTCAACCTATCTAGAGTTACTTGCTTGAAGAAGATCTGCTCTCCCTTACCCCACAGTAATCAGTAATCAGGGTTGGGGCCTGCTGCTCATTTCCCCTGTTCTGTGCTGGGTTGTTGTCTGATTGAGTTGTCATGGGCCTTGTACACATTGTTGCAAGTTAATATGAGCAAGTTCCCAGAGGTCTGTTTTAATTTTTATTTATACCTGTGTGTGTGTGTGTGTGTTTGTATGCACAAGTGTGTGCAGATGCCCATGGTGGCCAGAAGAGGACATCAGATCCCTTGAAGCTGGAGCCTTAGGTGGTTGTGAGCCTGCCTGATGTGGGTGCTGGGAACCAAATACTAGTCCTCTACCAGGTCAACAGTGCTCTTAACTGCTGAGCATCTCTCTAGCTCCAATTATCTCTATATTAGCTCTAATTTTTTTTTTTTTACATTCTATAAGTAATGGATGTTTGCTGGTAAAAACTTAAATATAAGAGGAACAAAAAAATATGTATTAGTCCTCATTCTTTTAGATGAGAAGGTGGTGAGGCTTCAGTTTACACACACACACACACACACACACAATGTCTTTCTGGCCTTCACTGGCCTGGAGCTCAGTATGTAGACCATACTGGTCTTGAATTTACATCAGTCTTTCCGCTGCTGCTCCCAAAATCCTGGAATTATAGGCACTTCCTCCTCCTCCTTTTCCTCCTCCTCTTCTTCAAGATTTTTAAAATTTATGAGTGTGTCTTTGTGTGAGTATGCACTGATGCATGCAGGCTCCCACAGAAGCCAGAAGAGTTCATTGGAGCCCCTTGTGCTAAAGTCACAGCAGTTGTGAGCCACCCAGTGTGGGTGCTGGGAACCAAGCTTGGGTCCTGTGCAAGAGCAGCAGGTGCTCTCAACCTCGGAACCATCTCTCCAAATATCTCCTTTTTCTAATTAGGTGCCGAAGTTACAGGCATGCACAGGCCCATTATCACACTGATCTGTCTATGCCATTGTACTTCGCTTATATTCATGCCCCATTACTGACTTGTGTCCCCTCCCTCCTCTGGTGCTGGTCTTTCCTCCCCGAGATAGTCCTCCTTTTGCATTCGGGTTATATTTTTAAAATCTGGATTCCTCATGTGAGAGAAAACATGCTGTTTGTTTTCCTGCCTTCACCATTGCCTTTTCTTATTTCCAGTTCCCTTCTTCTGATAGTCACCTTGGTCCCCTAAAATTGTTTCCCTTCCAATTTTGGTTTCAAGTTTTCTTCAAGTCACTGCTAATTAGCTGTGAATCAGAGGCTTGAACCAAGATGCTAATTGCAAAAGCCTTCTTGTTGAGGTGTAATCCTCTGTACTTTCTCCTCTAGATAATCATGATGTCATTTCCCTGAAGTTGTTTGAACTGACAGTGGAGAGGACCCCAGAAGAAGAGAAGCTGCATCGAGATGTTTTCCTGCCCTCTGTAGACAATCTGAAGCTGCCTGAGAGTGAGTATGGGATCCCGGGAGCTGCCTATGGTCACGGGGGAGGTTGTAGTGCCTGTGGAGTCTAGGGTAACGCATCCACAGCTTTCAGGGTGGTCTCTTTTTTTTTTTTTTGGTCTTTTTGAGACAGGGTCTCCCTGTAGCCCCAACTGACCTGGAACTCACTATGTAGACCAGGCTGGCCTTGAACTGTGCCTCCCGAGGGCTGAGATCAAAGGCGTGTGCCACCTCGCCTAGCTAGGGTGGTTTCTTTTTCTGAGCTCCTTTGAAGCATATGGAGCACCTGCACCGTCTTCTTGCCTGTTCTGCTCCAAACAAGCATCAGGAGGGATGCTTCATTTTTATATTAAGCCATTTGGAAAGGGGGAATTGAAGCTCTGGCTCCCCAGAAGTTGGTATCAGTGATTGGGAGCTGAACAGCCTGTTGATTCATTGTAGGGTGGGCTCCATGTTGTTAATTTGTTTCTCTCTTGCTTCATCAGTGACAGTCCCACCAACGCCCTTGAGTGGCCTGGCCCTCTTCCTTCTCGTCTTTTTCTCTCTGGTGTTTTCTGTATTTGCCATTGTCATTGGGATCATACTCTACAACAAATGGCAGGAACAGAGCCGGAAGCGCTTCTACTGAGCCCTGCTGTCACTCCCTCCACTACTTCACCCATGAGGCGTGGGAAGAGCAAGGGCTGGTCTGAGCACACAGCCTGGCAAGTCTGCTTGCGTGTCCAGCTGTTGGTCAGGGACTGTGTTCTGTCACTGGAGCTTCAGATGCAGGGATTCTGCATCCCCATGGTTATCCATGGGGACATCTAACTGGTCCAGGATGCCACCACCCAGGGCTATGCTGCTGTGATGTGCCTTTCCTTGAAGTCTTTCCACTTGGGAGTGAAGAGAGATGGAAAAATATGTGTATTGTGACACCCAAATCACAGAATTGGAAAGTCCAGGCATGAATTGGACTCGGCTGGCCCTTCTACTTCATTTTTAAATCCACAAATAGAAAACTGGAACTCATACAATCTGGAAATCCACTTTTGCTTTCTGCCCATGCCTCTTTCTACCTGAGGACCTTTCCTTGGCAGTCTGGATGGAAACGCTCCCTGCCTTACCTGCCTGTCTCCCTCGCTCATTGTGTTCTTCATATGCATCCTGAGCCTGAAAAGACATTTGGATGTCTGCATTAGGACTTAACTGCAGAGTAAACTTAGGTTTCACTACTCTCCTTAGTGGCCTGGGCTTTTAGCTCAGTGCTTTGGCCTCTGCTCTCTGCTGGGTGGATCTTGAGTGCTGGTGTATGTCTTTAGCTTTCCTAGTCAGATCCTTTTAGGCCTTTGGTCAGGTTTAGCTAAAAGTTGGTATGCAAGTGAAGAGAAGCTTGTACAACTTCTTGAATGTCTTGAGCATAACTGTGAAGTCAGCCAGATCCAAGTGACCCACAGAAAGCAACATCTGTCATGTCGGATCACATGGAGGTGTTTATGGACTTACCAGAGCCTGCTTAGCTGCATGTTTTGTGTTTATCATGATTTTTGGGACTCTTGCTTTGAGTGTTGGAAGTGTAAGAAAACTTTCTTATTACTAGGCTTGGGTACTCCCCCGGGAGGAGATTTGGCTTCTTTTTCTTAATTAGAAGAGTTGCTGATCTCATGTTACAAGTCTGAGAGCAAAAGACCTTCATCCTCTGTGCCTGGAAGAATTCTGGTCATTGAGCAGCACAGCCTGAATGCTGTCGTATATGTGTCTCATTGTTATTACACTGCCTTATCCAACAAAAGTCATGTGCTGCTCACCTGTCTGCCCAGTGATTAAACTGATTACAGGCCAGTCTCTCTGGAGGGACCGAAAGTGAGCTCTCCTTTGGCCTTTGTAGTCTGAGGAAAATTCTTAGTGACTGATGGAACCAGTCATGGGCTTTTGAATTTGTACTTCTTCGAGGGTGGGCTTAGGTAGGAGGTCCTAAGCTCAGGTGTATCAACTCTTATCCTGGGTAGTTGGGAAAAGTTTCCTCCTCATCCGCCTACCCTGTTCTCCCCCCAGCCTAGGAAGAAGGGAGCAGGGGTCACCCTAGCTGCAGGTAGACATCCATCTTCTCAGGCTTCATCTTTTCCATGTGCTTAATTAAGCAGCACAGGCCGTGTTGCCCTTTTGCAGGAGAGATAGAGGTGGAGTGTGGAAAGCCACCTCTTAACACCTTTCCCATAGTAGCCAGATACCTCAAGGGAGGCAGATGACAAACTGTGACCTAGAGCTAGCCTTTAAGGTCAGAAGAACTGAAAAGAAACAGCAGTTTTGTTTTAAGCTTTAAGGAAGGTTGAATGGGCCTCTGTGGTGGAGGACCTAGGCGGACTCTTGAGATGGCCATTGTAGTGGTGGAATGGAAGGGATCTGATCATAGGGGAGGAGTGAGAGATGGAATGAGAGTCAGGTTTGTGCGATCCCTGCTCATGAGTACCTGAGGCTTTTAAAAGAAGCCAGAAGGTGGGATGTGTAGTCCCCACCCAGCCTAGGAACTAGGCTTTTCCCTTTTGAGATATGTGGTACAAGAAAACCACCTATTCACCATTGTAGGCCCTGCTCAGCTCCTGCTTTTTGTAGAAACAAATTTTTCCCATTGGTGGCGGGTTCTGGCATTGTAACCCTAGAGTATGCTGGAGAAGATGGTGCCTGGTCCATGTGTGGCTCTTATGCACATGTACATGGATGGGGCAAGAGCCATGGCCTTAGCATGTGACTCACCCAGAAGAGCCACTTCTCCAGTTACCTTTTCCTTCACTTCCTCTGATGGCAGAGCCTCCTAGCCTGGAAGAAACTGAGGACTAGAAAGGGTGCTTAAAGGTGGCGTTGTCCCTGAGTCTTCACTGAAGAGCTGGCATTTTCAGCCTCTCACATTGTCTTTAGTTCCTACCCTCAAGTCCTTCAAGTTCCAAGATAGCTTTCTTAGAAAACTTTATTTCAGTAGAAAATTATAGCTGTACCCTTGCTAGAAGTGGTTTCTTACACACACTAGTCAGAATCTGCAGAGCTTCTTGGATAGTCCTAGAAGACCCAAACAAGGATCTGGGAGGAAACCCAAGGGACAGGAAAAGCCAGGCCAATTATCCTTGTGGAGCTGGAAGCTCTGGGAAGATATCACTCAGATAATTCCTGGGTCCGTGGGTGAGTGAGGGCTTATGGGTTGTTACACGCTGTCGGTGTAAATTCTCAGAGTTAAAGATGGAAGAGTTGATTCTCTTGCCTTTGATTGAACCGATGACATTGACTATCTTAATGGGAGGATTCAGCCGAAGTTCAGGTTTAATCCAGGTCATAGCCAAGTAGTTCTAGAGAGAAGAGACAGCAGAGTTAGCCTAAAGCAACCTCGACGTAGTCTCAGAGCTGTCCTAAGAGCAGTCAGTGCCTTTTTCCCTTCTCCATGGTTAGCACTCACCGGAGCTGAATAGATAAAGTTGAACAGTATGATCCCTAAAATGAATATCAGGAAGAGGCATATGATTTTGGAGCGGTAGCGTTTGCAGATAACATAGCAGCAGTTTTTAATAGGTGACCGGAACCATATGAAAGAGGATTCATTACGTCTTCATGATGAGGTGCCCAAGAATGGAGGACAAGAACCACCTTTAGGTCAGGTTGAGTCAGAGCAAAAATCTTTTTTTAGCCCCTCAACCCCACCCCCAAGTCTTATTTCCTGACTGCAGCTGAGCCGTGTAGTAGGAAGTAACTGCCCCTGTCCACTCAGAGGGCCATCAGTCACCACCCCATACAAAGGAAGAATAAAAGCAGGCTTGGTGCCTCTGCCCCACAGGGCTCTTACAGAGGAGGATGAAGTGTAGGGTATTGGTTGGGTTCTGACTGGCCTCGCCCAGCTGGCCTGATTAAAGCTTCCTGCTCTGACAGGATCTCCAGAGTCATCTTCACTTTACCCTGGGGACACCACAGACCGGAGGGGGGGGGATGGATGGGGGGCAGTGCTTAGGTCAAGGCAAGGTTATTTCAAGACAACATTCCTACATCCACAGAGGAAAAGGAAGGCCCCCAGAAGTCTGCTGGAGCTAGTTAGGTGGTATTAGAGCCCAATTCACTAGACATCTTCCCCAGGGCCTACCGACAAACGCCACTTTTCTTTATCTTGGACCTGACAAGGCCACCATCCAGTTACAGTGTTCTTCTTAAATAAGGAGATACGCTTATGTTGGAGGTGGGGCCACTTGGAGTCAGTTTCCAGCATCCTGAGGGAGCATTGCTTGGTGCTCTGGGCCGGAAGAGGCATGTCAGATAAATCCAGCTCCAAGACCCCTGAGCCCAGAGAAAAGCCATCCATCAGCAAGAGAAGCTCCCTATCCTGTGTCACAAGCCCTATACCAGCACCTCACCTAGGAAGTCATCAGGGGAGAAGATGTCATTGTCCCAGACTTGGATGATGAGTCTGGCTGGAAATTTTGTTGATGTGGGGTCCAGGCTCCATATGTAGTCCTGGAGGACAGCAGAAGACCATGTGACTGGCCTGCCTCCTTGACATTTCCCTCATACACCTTAGCCCACTAGTCAGTAATGACAGGAAGAGGGATTCTGCCTGAGGTCAAGCTCCTAACATTCTGTCACAGCTTGCAGGTCTCTGAAAGGTTGGGGATCTCTTGGACCCTGGGGCACTTTTTCTCCTTCCCTCTTCCCCACCTGTTACCTTCTGACTTTGGACGCACATACGCTCTGCTGCCAGGTAGTCTATGGTAAAGATGAACCTCCAGTTGAAGGTGGCTTCCCCAGTCAAGGAGTGGTAGTGGATATCTGTCTTCTGCATGTCCTTCTCTAGTCCGAATAACCACCTGGGGCCAGAGTCCTTTTACCTGGGGTCCCTGCATATGGTCCCCATCCCACCAGGCACAGGTGGTAGTGGAGAGCTGTCCCCTTCAGGACTAGGAGGCCCCAGCAGAATAACAGAACTGGGAATTCAGGATCCTTCTGGAGCCTGCCTCACCCTTTGATGTAGATGTCACTCATCTTGTCTCTACTTAAAGTCTTATGCACCAGGTCCACTTGGGCAGTACTCCAGATGATGCAGCGCAGCTCATACCTGTAGCCACTGGGATCTGAGACTTTGCTGAGGAATAGCTCCCCAGTGCAGCCTTGGTGAGGGAAGAGAGACCCAGATCCTGCCCTCTTATGTTTTTGAATGTGGGGAATTCAGGGCTAGAAAGTTCCAGTAGAGATTCCTCTATTCCCAGTAGAGAATTCTTGCCACTTGGTGTTTGGGAACTGAAGTGCCCTCCTCCCTGGGGACTAAACTGAAATGCCATGACTGGGAATTGGGTTGTCACAGACTCACCGTTTAGGCTTTCTGGGGCTGATGTTGACTTGGGGGCCAGGAGGCCCCAGCATCTTGGGGAAGATATCCACCCACATCTGCACCTTTCCCTAGAGCAGGAATGGATTTACTGGTTGGGTTGCTGGCCTCTCAGTTGGGTGGCATGAAGGTCTGAGGCTGGGATGAGGCTGTATTCTCACTACCCATGGGTGGGACAGAGATTTCTGTGAGGTAGCAAGTGACCACCCGCCCCCCACCAGCTCCTTCTTTGGTTTTTGGTTGGGAAAGCAGTTGAGTGAGGGTGGTATATGCTGGCTCAAAGACCAGTTGGGTGGGTGGGTATTGAGATTTCACTTATGACTGAGGGCAGATAATGCTACTAAGCAGGTCAAGCTAGAAGGCCTGTGGATGGGGATCTGTGGTGGGGTTGGGCCTTTATGTGTTAGGCAGCATGGTAGTCCTGAGTAAGAGGAAACGGGATTGTCACTAAGGTCATTTTGTGTTGTGAGACTACAACCTAAGGATATTAAACTAATCACAGAATACAGAGGTCTTAGAGAATATGGGATAAAAATGGTGAGAAATGGGGGAAGAAAGGAAAGAGCAGCACCACCAACTTTGGAAAATAGGTAAATATGTGCTGTCTGTCAAACTACCCAACCTACTTTTATTCTTTGGAGTTTATTCTTTGATCCATTTGAGACCATTTGAGAAAGCTGGTTCAATGAGAACAGGTTTTGTTGGTTTTTTTTTTTTTAATTTAATGTGTATGTGTGTATTGCTTGCATTTAGGTAAATGTACCCATGTTGTACAATGCCTGTGGATGTCAGAAGAGGCTGTTGGATCCCCTGAGACTGGAGTTATAGACAGTTGTTAGCCGCCATGTGGGTTCTGGGATTTGAATCTGGGTCTTCTGCAAGAACAACCAGTGTTCTTAACCGCTGAGCCATCTCTCCAGCCCCCGAGGATGGTTATTTTAAAGGTTGCTCAGCAGAAGATATTTTATCTTGACTATGACCTGAGCATGAAAGATTTGGAGAATGAGTGGAGCCATTTTGGTTGTTGGAAGGTGAGGGATAATTAGAGTGCCCTTGGCTATCTCTGTCCTTTTGGGTTCCTTGCCATGGAAAAGACAGTCTACAGTTGACAGGACCAGGGTTGTAATGTCTGTACCCTCTGATCTGGGGTGCCATCTCCTCAGACCTCTGGAGAGACCAAAACAGTAGAGGCATTTACTGGTAGATACTCTTGTGCTTCTCACAGATGCTATATGGCCATTTCTTACAGTCTTCCCCGCTCTGAAGTGCTATATGATATCATTGGAACTTCTTGCTTATTAGCATGTGCAAAACAAGCTTCACTTCTGTGTGTGCACTTATGTGAGTTATTGGCCTCCTGGACCAGTCCATAGGAAGCAAGAACAACCTCTCCAGTCTCATACCTGGTCAATACCTGGCTGGCTGTTACTGTACAGTGTGCGTGTCTCCACGTGCTCAGGAACTAGCCCCTGGGTATGCAAGATGTACAATGCCAGGCGTTCCTTCTTGGGCCCCAAACCCTGAAAGGTAGGGGGTTTGGACTCTGGATTGGAGAGAGGGGATCACGAGGTCATTATCTAGACACCCTTTCCAGTCCTGCATGGGTATTGGCTATCGTTGCCTTCTACAAGGGAAAAGGTGGAAAGATGTTGTCGTTTGTTCAAGGGTGACCTCTCTCTGCCCTCCCTCCCTTCCTCTTTGCCTCTCTGGTTCCCACCCCCACCCCCGGCACTCTTTAATTCTGGAGAGCCTAAACGGTTTTCAGAGACTGGGCCTGTATTTTCTGGAAGTGTACTGAACTCACCGAAGCTTTGCAGCATGAATTTCTTCCCATTGTATAAAACAGAGTCTTCCTCCTGGTCAAACACTGGTGGAGGCAGCCCTTTCTGTTTGGCATAGTGTTCTAGGAGGTAGCTTGGGGACATCTGATCCCTCCACTTGAAGGGCCCTGACCTGTGGGGTATGTGAGAGAAGGAGATGGAGAGATGCAAGTCCTAGAGAGCACGCTGCTCTGAGCTGCAGGCGAGGGTGGTGGAAGCATGTCTGGTGAGACAGATCCAGCCCTGGTTGCCAACCCGAGTGCCCAGCCTTTCTTCAGGGAGCTGTGAGCTTACGCCTCCCCCCACCCGCCTCACTTGCTGAATATGTCCATGCTCACTGGCAGTACGATTTGGAGAGCCCACAACGGGCTCCAAAGCCAGACAGAAGTCGGTTTTCAAGGTCAATAACTGTACTTCCAATCTCATCATCAGAAGTAATTAGGTCAAAGTCGTACAGCTGAATCTGTAGATCCTTCTCCAGAGGGATTTTACAGGTGAATTCAAAAACCCTAGAAGTGAAGGATTGGAAACTGCAGGTGCTGTGAGCAGGTACTCTCCCTGCCTCATTCGTCAGCAGTGCCTGCTCCACTTCACCCCTTCATTCACAGTGAATGTGGACAGCAGAGCATGGTATAGACAACTGTCCACGAGTAACCATTCCCCCAAAGTGGCAGAAAGTAGCTTCTGATGGCTTGGGCAAGGAGACCTGAGAGCTCTTAGGGGAGGGGGTGAAGGAAGAGAAAGAGTGCTGGGTTATCCACTTGTCTTCTGCCTGTTGAGTCCTTCAGAGCCAGTGAAACATTGCTCACAGAGCTTGAAGGCCTATTGGAGCTGCCTCCCAACACAGCACAGAGGGCTGGAAGAGTGGGAATGAGTGACTGGGGGCAGCTCACATGCCAAAGATGGGATCCAGAGTGTTGGGCTGGTATGAGTCCCGGCTGCCAAGCTTCATCTGCCCCAGTTTCAGGATGACATAAGGGTCACACTGGGGGTGGGGAGGAAGATATGAGCAGAGAAAGGAAAGGAAGAGGGGAATCAGTCTTGCTTGTTCAGGGAGGGTGGAGGTGAGTATGCTGTGTGGAACCTGTGGGCAGTTGGCAGTGTATGAGCAGCTGGAGGCACTGCAGGATGCTGTGCTTTGGGCATGGGGTGGGGGACACCAGTGTTAGGCAAGGGGTACTTTTTTACCAGGCCATTGTAGTCCTGTGGCTGCAGATTGATGGCTCGTACCAAGTACACCCGCACCAAGCACATCTGAGGGAAGTCCTCATTCTGAGGCCAAACTAAGAACTGACGTGGGGGCTTGGGGGCTTCTGGATCCTCAGGAAATGGGTAAATTCGGAAGAGGCCCTGGAGGTAGAGAAGGCTTTGGCTGCCCAGTCTGGAGGTGCTTCCAGTGGAGTTCAGCAAAGATCTTCAGCAGGGACCACCATGTTTAGAGGGGGTTTGGGGCAAAAGCACTTACAGCCACTTGGTAGTCTCAGATTCTGCTGATTCCACATCTATCCCTTCAGGTTTGAACTAACTGAGGCTCTATGACTTTGAGGAATCAGCTTAGGCCAGAGCTGAATGTGAAGGTCCTGTCTCCCTCAGTCCTTGCCTTCAAAGTCTAATCTCTGCTCTTCACTCCCAGAAATGTTTCTCAATCCTGCCTTCACATCCTCACCATGAACACACAGAGCCAGGGGGGCTTTCATTAGAGTCTTTGGGGACAGATGGGCTACAAAGACACAACTAGCAAAACTAGAGTAAGTAGACATATACCTTGAACTCTCCTACCACAGGGCTGTCCACCTTGGGCTGTTCCTGATAGAGTTTGAAGGTCTGGCAGAAGTCCTGCAGGCCCTGGAAGGCTGGAACTGCCTCTAGTTCACAGTCATACACCTGTAGGGACATGTGTAGAACTTGGGCTGGGGGGCCTTTTGGGGACCACCAGCACCCAGGCCTTTTCCAAAGTATCTACCCAGTTAGTTGCCTCACTGCCTGCTTCAGGTGAGGTGGCTGGAGGAGGAATCACTGAGAGTCTTAGGAGACAATGTAGAAACTCCCCCACTTGGACTGGGGTTGTAACTATTTGAGTGCTTGTGTGGCACAATCCCCAGCACCACATAAAATTGAGCCTGGTGGCACATGCCTGCAATCCAAGTGCTCAGGAGGTATTGGCAGGAGGATCAGGAATTCAAGGTCCTTCTCACCTACATAGCAAATTGGAGGCCAGCCTGGGCTACATGAGCCCTCATTTCAAACAAAACAAAGCAAAACCAAACCAAACCGAAAGCTCTCCACCTGGTAGTTTCTGGAGAAACCAAGGCTAGGTCTGTAACCCCTCCTTGTGGGATATTTCATCCCACCCATCTTTCCCAGGACCCACCAAACCTTTAGGGTGTAGTAGTTTTTATACTTGTACTTCAGGGATTTGTTAGCATCGCCTGTGGCCCAGAATAGCTTGCTCCACCAGTCCACGTCGTGTTCATATTCATCCTGGCACAGAAGAGGCTCATGCTGGCCCTCAGGCAGGAGCAGAGGCCCCCACCTCCCTAAACTGACTGGGATTGTTCCTTGTTTCCCAGTCTGAGCCTATTTCACCTCATTTTTGCTGGACTTGAACCAGAACTTCTGGATGTACCCTAGGAACTGAAAAGTGAGGAGGTTAGAGAATAGTGGGGAAAGGGGACTGAGGTAGGGGCTCACCCTGACTCCCTCACATTTTACATAGGCCTTCAGTTCAAACAGGATTGGGGGAGGGGCTGAAAGAGGGGAATCATGCTTGTTCATGTTCATTGCCTACCAACCAGATGGGACTCAAAAAAAGATGCTCAGAAATGCAGAATCTCACATGCTACCCCAACCTGTGAGGGCAGAGTCATTTTTTTGTTTTTTAAGTCTCACTATTAAAAAAAAAAAAAAAAAAAAAAAAGAGTCTCACTATATACCAGGCTGGCTTTCAGCTTATGACCCTCTTGTCTCAGCCTACCTAGTGCTGGGACTACAGGCCTAATCACTATGCCCCGTCCAGCAAAATCAACCTTCCCTCTCTCCCTCACTTATCTTATGCTGGGTATGGAACGCAGTGCCTGTACACGCGCACTACATCACTAAGCTACATCTCCAGCCCTTGGTTTAGTTTGGTGTTTTTTTTTTTTTTTCTGTGTGTGTGTGTGTGTGTGTGTGTGTTTTGAGACAAGGTCTTGCTATATAGCCCAGACTGGCCTTGAACCTGCAATATTCCTGTCTTAACTTTCTGAGTGCTGGGATTATAGGTCTGTACCACTGTGCCTGGCAGAATGTGTTTTGAAGACATCTGGCATTAAAGTGTGATGGTGCTGTTCTAGAGCGGTAGTTCTGAACCTTCAAAACTTGAGAGACTTGAACAGAATTCTCATGATTGGCAACTCTGGTGGGATCCTTCAGTGGCCTGGGTGAGGGGAGCTGATAAGATGACTCAGTTCATAAAGTGCTTGCCCTGTGTATTAGTTACTTTCCTCATTGGTGTGACCAGATACCTGACAAGAAGCAACTTAAAGGAGGGTTTATTTTGGCTTAGAGTTTGAGAAGTTGTCCATCATGGTGAGGAAAATATGGAGGCAGGTGGGGGGGGCATATGGTCACAGTCAGGAAGCAATAATGAGTGCACATGTTCAGCTTGCTTTTTCTTTTTTCTTTTTTTAGACAGGGTCTCCCTGTAGCCCCAGCTGGCCTAGAACGCACTATGTACATCAAGCTGGCCTTGAACTCACAGAGATCCGCCTGCCTCTGCCTCCCAAGTGCTAGGATTAAAGGCATGCACCACCATGCTTGCTTTCTCCTTTGTATTCAGTCCAGGATCCTAGCCCATGGGACAGTGCCACTCACAGTCAATGTGGGTTCTCTTACCTCAATTAACCTAATCTAGATAATCCCTCACAGCCATATCCAGTTGCTAAACTAATCTAAATAATCCTTCACAGGAATGCCCAGAGTCTTGTCTCCTAGGTGACTCTAGCTCTTGTCAAATTGACAGTGAATGTTAACTATAACAGTCTTGTAAGCAAGCATAAGGACCCAAGTTCCTTCTCCTAGAGCCTATGTAAAAAGTCAGGGTGTGGTGGTGTGTATTTGTAATCCTAGTGTTGGGGAGGAAAAACAGAAGGATCCCTGGAGCTTGCTGGCCAGCCAATCTAGCCTAATTGGCAAGTTCCAGGCCAGTGAGAGACCTTGTCCAAAAAAATAAAGTGGGGTCAGGAGATATGGCTCAGTGGTTAAGAGCATGTACTGCTTTTCCAGAGGACCCAAGTTTGGTTCCAAGAACCCACATCAGATGGCTCACAACTGCCTGCAACTCCAGCACCAGGAAGATCCTGTGCCTGTAGCATCTGAGGGCACCTGAACTCATAAGCACACACAGACATACGCAAATACACATACTTAAAATAAATCTGCAATGTGGGGTGCCCACTCTTCTGTAAAATCCTACCCTATGTTCTGTTTAAAAAATATTTTTTAAAAAAATCTTTTAAAAACAAGGTGGATAGTGCCTAAGGAATGATACCTGAGGTTGATCTCTGACCTCCATATATGTACATGTACATGTACATGTACATATACATACACAAACCAATAAACAAATAATTAAAAAAGTTCAGGTGAGCTCGGTGAATGCCTATCATAGCAGCACTTGGGAGGGGAAGGCAAGAAGATCAGGTCATCCTCAACTACATAGCAAGTTCAAAGCCAGCCTGAGATACTTGAGACCTTATCTTAGAACAAACCCCTGGGGCGGGGAGATCCTCAGGTGATTTCCACATGCAGACTTGGGAACCATGGCCTTAGCCATCTCCTGTACAGTTAGGCCACCTCATGGGGATGGTTTAATGGTCACCCCTTCACAGGGACAGTGTCATTCTTGAAAATGGTGTGGGAGAAGGTGGCCTGGAGCCCTTACTCACAGTCTTGTGTTTCTTCACCGACAGCACTGTGTGGAGAGAGCACAGTCATGAATCTCAGGAGGGAAGAAGCTGAAGAGGAGGGGACACCAACCCCATAGGGGAGCCAGGGCCCCTCCCTACTCCCAAGGAGAGCTTGCTGATGAGGCCAGGAAGAGGACCAGCAGAAGGGGCCGTACTTGGCAGCTTTGGGGGCCTGTAGTTCAGAGCCCAGGGGTCACAGAAATAGGGCTGGAGGAAGTTGATGTTGGCTTGACCCACCACGATCTGCTGGCCATAGTCCTGATTGTCCACAACCTTTACCACCAAGGGCAGTGCGAAGGCCTCCTCCACAGGCATGGACTGCAACCCAAGAAAGGGGAAGCGTGAGGCCCCTCAAGAAAAGAAGACTGTCCAGCCCCTGCCCAGGGTCTCTTACCACCATGAGGAAGAAGATGGAAGTGGGGAAGTTGGGGTTGGTCTGGAAGTTGCTGATGGGTTCTGTCCTCAGGGACTTCTCTCCATATTCTACCAGGAGCTGGGGGTAGTGTACCTTGTTCATGTTCCGAAGGCCCCATGCCAGAACCTGCCAGAACCAGGAAGAAGAGCAGGACAAGTGGCAGACAGCAACTCCTGGTCAGAGGGGGATGTGCTGGCCTGGGAGTGATGCCGGGGTCAGGAATGGGGCAGTGCCACAAGCTAGCATCTGAGGCTCTTCCAAGTCTTCCTGTCCTGTGAGGGGTCATGCTAGTCCTCCAGACCTGGTTGCTGTCTGCTCTCTCTATAACCATGGCCTATATCCTCCATGTTGCCCACACTGACCTCAGGCAGATACATAGCATACTTCCTCACTGCCGGCTTGATGGCTCTAGAAGTTCTCAGACATTGAGTTCCTGAGGCTGATTGCCTCATTGCCTCTATAGCCCACAGAAGCACATGGTACCCAGATTTTTCAGAGGTTTCCACGCCATCTAGCTTATTGCTGACTTGTACCCTATGACCTATCAGTGTGATCTGGCACCCTATGATTTCTCTCTCGGCTGACAATAAACGCCTCAAGAAACATCCACATGTTTTATGAAAGTCTCCTTGGGGCTTAGTGGGGACCAGCCTCATCAACTGATCTTGGGGGAGCTACTAGTTGCTGGAGTACCTGACCGCCTTTTTCTCTTTGCTAAATTTGTGATAGGGCACAGAAGATCTAACTTGGAAACCTCCATTTGGTCTCAGGGAGGGCTGGGCTTAAATTGTGGCTTGCTCACTTAGTCTCTCTGGTCACTGTGTCTGAAATATATTGTCTCTGAATCTCAATTTCTTTCTCTGAAAATCAGTCCTTGTGCTGGTTAGTTTTGTCAAGTTGACATAAACTAAAGTCACCTGGGAAGAGGGGGAACCTCAACTGAGGAATTTTCTCCATCCACTGGCCTGGGGGCATGTCTGTGGGACATCTTCTTGATTGCTAGTTGATATGGGAGGGCCCAGGCCCACTGCAGGCAGTACTGTTCCTAGGCAGGGCTTGGGCTGTATAGGAAAAGTAGCTGAGCAAGCCAGGGAAAGCAAGCCAGAAAGTTCCTCCATGGTTTCTGCTTCAAACTTCTACATTGAGTTCCTGCCTTAGCTTCCCTCCATGATGGCCTATATACCTGTAAGCCAAATACACCCAATCCTCCCCCAAGTTGGTTTTGATTGGTGTTTTATTACAGCAATAGAGAAGCAAACTACAAAAGTCCCAGATGCACAGGAGTCAGCTCAGGGCTCAAATGTATAATGAATGCTATAGTTTCAGGTCTGCTGCCCCTGTAGAGTCCTGCAGTGAAACAATTTCCCATGCTATGTCTAATGCTCTCATTTCTCTGTCTCACATTTCTCAGAGAATGTGTTCTTAGGGTTCAGGTCTCAGGCCAAGTACTTAGGAAGGTTTCACTGCGAGCCCTAGTGTGCCCCAAGCTGCTCTGGGTGAGGCTTGTCCCTGCCCACCTCTCCCCATCTGCACACACCTCGATGGCCATCAACTTCAGTGTGGGCTGGATGTCCTTGGGCAGTGTATAGATCCCATTCTTCCAGGGGATGTTTAGGATTGGAAGTTGTGTCTCTGTTAGCTTCTAAAGGGTAGAGGAGGGAAAGCAGGAAACATGAGGCCCTGGAGGGGCCCTGCTGCCCCTAACCCCCACCAAGCATGTCTCTTAGAGGTATCAGCTATAAAGATCTCAGAACTCATGGATCAGAACTAGGGGACAATTAGGGGAGAGGTTGAGCAGGCCAATACCAATGGACCCAATGTTGTCATTCCTAGGCCTCAATACAGGTCTTTCCTAATGGAGTAAGGTGAGCCCTGGTGGTTGTGGAAAGTCGGGGGTGAGGGTGGGGCAGGGAGGGGCACCAAGCCCTGTTCTTCCCATCCAAGCCCTGTCTCCCAGTACCTCTGTCTCAAGGATCAGCTCACAGGATGCCAAGATCTCACCCTCTTCCTCCCCGAATTCTTTCACAATGGGATGCCACCTCAGGGGGGCCAAGACCCAGCCTTGGAGGTCCAGCGAGACCACTGGGGGCCACATGCTCCGTCCCCACAAGATCTCCTTTCCCTAGAGGAGAAGGGCATTTGCAGAATGTGGAGGCCAGGTCAGGAACCTAGCCTGGGATTCTGGTTTAGACAGGGGAATGATTAACATGTTTACATGACCCCTACACATCAGCCTCACAAAGAATACATGAGATACCTTGCTCTAAAATGTGTCCCCTGCCCCCAGCAAGGCCATGAAGTAGGACTTCCTCCCTCCCAGCATAACCTGCTGTACCCGAGAATCATGTTGCCACAGTTCCAGCATCACGAGCGGGGGGCTCTCTTTGGTGTCCTGGGGGTTCTCGAACAGCAGAAGGTGCTGGAAGATGAGTGTCTGGGCCCACACTGGTGCTGTAGAGTTTTGCAGGGTCTGGGTGCACAGACTGTGGTTCAAGAAGACTGCTCGAATAAAGGGCCCTAGAATGGGGAGGAAGGGGAGGGAGTCCCATCTCCAAACTGCCAAGTGAGGCTCTCCACTCCTCTGAGGCTACAGCTATTAGACCAGGTCCCAGGGAGACCCCTGTCAGGCAGTCTGCCACTTCTAGCCTTTCTAGAAGGTTGCCTCAGCAGGAGCTGCAGAACAAGTGAGCATACCCCTCAGGCCAGGCGAGCCTTTGCTTCTATGCCTGTGAATGCCATGCCCACTGTGGTTGGACGTGGCTTTCACAGAGATGGAAGATGGGGGTGCCTCTGGAGGAGTTGTGGGGACAAGACTCCCCATGGCTGATCTTCTACACTATCAATGAGTGATCATTTAATGACAGTAGTGATGCTCAATGGACACGGCCCTCAGCAAACATTCCTGAAGTCCCCACCACTCTGCTCACCTCCTATGAACAGTACCATTAATAGGACAAGGTAGGAGCACTTAGCTCGCCTCCTGAGCCCCTCCATGGGACTTCCTCACAGAACCAGTGATGATCATCATGCAGGCCCTCCTTCCTCCTTGTCCCTCCTGTTCAGCTACAGTGTGGTTCCCTAGTGTGCCACTCTTTCATGTTCCACTCTCTCCTTCAATCCTCCGCCATGCAAGCTCCTTTCACTTCTAGGCTAGCTAAGTGAATGAAGTCCTCAGCTCCCCCTTCTAATCTCAAGAGCAGCCTTGATTTATAAAGTCTTTGTTTTGGGGCCTTTTCTCCTGTGAGCTGCTTGGGGGTCTCTAAGATCTGCATCTTTGTCACATAATCATTATATACCTTATATGGATGTGTTGCCAGACCCTGGGGGACTAGGGAACAAAAGTTGAATGACATGGGACATTCCTACCTTGGAAGGTCAGGATCTGGTTGGATATCAGGTTCCGGGCCTGGTAGATATAGCAGAAGAGCTGGTAGTAGTGGGGCTCTGGGTAGAGAGGCACCTCATTTATCACCTGTCCCCAGGGTCCCCAAAGGCTCCTTCCTCCTTCCCACCCTCCGGCTCTGGCCTCTGGGGCCACTCAGTAGACTCCCACTGCTCACTGTTGAGGATGCAGTAGATGAAGGGCATGGTGGGGATCCGGGGATCCTCTGGAGTACGTTTCAAGAACTCTTTGAACTGATGCCATGACCTCCTCATCTCTGGTTCCTTCTCAGGGTGTTTTTTCAGATCCATTTCCTGTGTCCAGAAAGGGCCCCCTTAAGGCTCTCAGTACTTCCTGACTCCCTTTTCCAGGCCCCAAACACCCTCTACCCCTTGCAGGTACCATCTGCCAAGCTTGAAGAGTTAGGGCCCAGTCAATCATGCACAGTGGGGGTGTCCCTGATCCTCTGGGAGGTGGGGTGGCAAGCAAGTGTCTGTCACCCAGCGTATGGTGGCTTTACCAAGGATCCCTCCAAGAGGAATATGGGGGCAACGTCCCTTTCCTTGTTGGGCGCCAGCCTTCGGTGCCAGCATCGGCGGCGGAACCGGCTTGTTGGTTGTGGGTCCAGGTGGAACTTGGAGCCGAAGGTTCCATACTCCCAGCCTTCCTCTCCCTCATTAGCCAGGCCCTGCTGCAGGGAAGAAAGCAGAGTCATGCCCCTGACCTGCTTTCCAAGTCCCCTTGCCCACATCCCCATCAGGGCCTCTACAGGGAGGCAGGGTGGGGGTACTCACCAACTGCAGGAAGGAGAGGGTCTCCTGCTCCAGGCCCAGTTCACTGTGATCCCGGAACCGCACACGCACCCAGCGCCGCCGACGGCATGAATGGTAGGTCTTCTCCACCGAGCTCCAGATCTGGGGCAAGCCCAAGGGTGGGATCCCCACTCCATACTCCCAGCCTGTGGGGACAGCACCATGGCCTCTGGGTCAGGAGTGTGTGCATACTAGGAGGCTTTGATATGTCTGAGAAAGGGACAAGCTACAAGGGAGTGGTGTTTCCTATGTCCAAGAAGGTGTGCTCACCCTTTGTGTCACCTGGACTGCCTGGGCCCAGGTGCCTGTCTTACAAATGGAGATGACTCATACAAGACCACACAGCTATGAGCAGCAAGGCTTGTGTCTAGAGCTGAGACCTCAAGACTTCCATCCCACTGCCCCCTCCCTGGGGCCGCCTGGGGTGAATTGAGGTGCTGTAAGCAAATCCATGTTCAAAGGCATCCACCTGCCAGGCTCTGGGCCAGGTCTCAGTAGGCACCTGCAGTGTCTATTCTATAGAATAGGTAGAGACCTATTCCCTAGAGGTTAGGAACTCCCAGGAAGTCAGACCCATCCTGCCTGAGAGCGTGACCATTCAGAGGCTGCCAGATGAACAAGTCTTTAATGACTTAGGGTCCCCAGACCCTCCTGCCCTCAGCCCTGACCAGAGACTGACCCTCACTGTCCACTGCATGGTTGAGCTCCACAATCCATTGGTTCTTGAAGTGCCAGCCCTGGGGACACTTCACATTCTCTGTAGCCTCCACAGGCTGTCCATTCTGTGGGGACATTGAAGGCAAAGGAGGGTCACATGAGGTAAATGGACCTTGCCTTCACTCACTCTTCACACACTCCCGTCTTGAAAACTCCAGCCACAATAGCCTCCCACTTCCAGGGTCAGAGAGTGCTTGCTACCTCTGCTGCTGCCATGACTTGTCTGTTTGGACTGAACAGCTTTCTCCTTGTTGCTGGGTGGGGAGGGAGGGAGGGGGAGACTATACTAGCATAGCATGCACTGGAGACAGGTTAGACTTGAATTGTACCACTCTGGGATCAGCAGCCTCTGGGATACCTCAATTAAAATGGAACAAAATTCAAAGTCTAGTTCACCTTAGCACCGCATTTCCATTGCTCAAGAGCCACACAGTAATAAAGATGACAGAACATTTCTATCATCACAGAACATTCATATGTGTAGGGGTGCACATGTGTGGAGGGTGTGTGTCTACATGTGTGCACATGTATGTGGAAGCCAGAGGTCAACTTCATTCCTCCTGAGCCCAATTACCTTAGTTTTTGAGACATGGTCTTTTACTGGGATCTGGGGCTCACCAATTTAGACTAGGCTTCCTGGCCAGTAGCCCTAGGGATCTGACTATTTCTGTTTCCCCAGTACTGGGATTATAAGCACATAGCACCTTGCCTGGATTTTTGTGTGGGTACTGGGGACTGAACTCAAGTTCAAACTCAAACTTCTTGGTTTCAGTCAGCCTTGTAGCTGGACTGCAGGTGGGTACCACAATGTCTGGTTCTTTCTGACATCTTATTGAAGGTATCTTCAACTTGCTATCCTTGGGTACAACCCCTTCAGCAGTGCCAGGAGGACAGGATCCTTTGGGGTTGAAGTGCTCATCTGGGTCCCACAGGATGTATAGAACAGCGCTCAGACATAGATCTCTTTCTGCTGGGTCACACCAGCTTCCAAGGTCCCTCATCTGGTTGGCTTGCCCACTGTCCCAAGACAGTTGGAGATACTCACCACATTCGTGTTGGGGATGGCTGCAGGCACCCAGGGGCCTTTGGCATCTCGGCTCTGGTTCTCGTACACCTCCTCCAGCACCTTGCTCTTGTTGATGTCTATATCCAGGAGGAGTCTGGGGGCAGTGAGACCCCAAGTTCCCACATCTCTATGAACCTTTAGGGGTCATTCTCTGCTGACCAAGCATTTCCTTATATGATATCCCACTTCCTTTGGGCAAGGCAGGGCCTGGCATCCAGATAGGTGGCAGGCAGGGCTGTCAGTCTTGTGTATTCCCACTGACAGAGACTAAACTAGAGACTAAACTCAGTGACTTTGGGTCCGCCTCTTTAGGTTACCACTGACTAGCCCTCCCAGATGATAAATAAGAAGTCACATAGTAGTAGGTCATGCCGGGTACATACTGGCTCAGGGCCTGCACCTCTGTCCTTACCGCCGCTGAGGCTCCACTATCCAGTTGTCCTGCCAGTGCCATCCTGGGGGAGCCCTGAAATCCGACTTAGGAAGAGCCTTGCGTCCCATGACATCTGAGAAGTTGGGGCAGTGATGCAATCCCTGCTGTCCCCACTCATCTTTGTATTTGGCCTGATTCTCATACTGGGAGAGGAGAGGTCAGTCAGTGCCTCTACTTCCTCCACCACATGGTTTTGGGGAAGTTGGGGACCCTGTCCTTCACTGTAGAAATGAAGTAGCCAGGTAAGACAGGGCCACATCCCCACTGTCCTTAGGAGAGTGACAATTAGGGGTCATTGCCACCATAGGTTGATCAGCTAGCAGAGTAGGATGATGCCCATGTTAAAGCCAGAATCTTCAATGTGACCTGCATATGCCCTGGTCACTGAAGACCTGAGGAATCCAGCCCTACTACTCACTTACCCCTCTGTGCTATCCCCAGGCCTTTTCTTCTATAATCCCCTATATCCTTTCTTTACCTCTGACTTACACAGGGCTGACTGGACAGAATTGTCCCTTGGAATCTTCAGAGATTTTGGTTCCAGGCCACCCTGGGATGCCCAAATCCATGCTCCTTTACATAAAATGGCCTAAAGGCCAGGAATGGTGGCACAGGCCTTTAACCTCAATTCTCAGGAAGCAGAGACAGGTGGGTCTCTATGAGTTTAAAGCCAGCCTGGTCTACTTAGTAACAGGCCAGCTGGAGCTACAGGGAGACCCTGTCTCAAAAATGAATGAATGAATGAATGAATAAATAAATAAATAAATAGGCCTAGTGTGCTGGATAGCTTCAGTTGTCAACTTGACACACCTGGGTAGAAGGAACCTCAACTGAGGAACTTCCTCCATTGGATTGGCTTGGGGCCATGTTTGGGGGGCATTTTCTTGATTTCTGAGTAATGTAGGAGAGCCCAGTCCATTGTGGGCAGTGTCACCCCTGGGCAGGTGGTCCTGTGTTGTATAAGCAGACTGAGCACAGGCCAGGAGAGCAAGCTAGTAAATAGTGTTCCTCCATGGTCTATGTGTCAGTTCCTGCCTCTAGATTTGATCCCTGACTTCCCTTAGTGATGAACTGACCTGGGAGATGGAAAATAAAATAAACCCTTTCCGGGGTTGGAGAGATGGCTCAGCAGTTAAAAGAGTACTAACTGCTCTTGCAGAGGACCCAAGTTCAATTCCCAATACCCACATGGTGGCTACGAACCGTCCTTAACCTCAGTTCCAGGGGAATCTGAAGCCCTCCTGAGTTCTGGGATTAAAGGCATGTGCCACTATGCCCGGCTCACTTTTAAAATTTTAAAATATTTTATTTATTATTTTTATTTTATGTGTATCAATGTATTGCCTACATGTATGTAAGTGCACCTGTGTCATTCAATGCCTGTGGATGTCAGAAGAGGGCATCAGATCCCCTGAAACTGGATTTATAGATGGTTGTTAGCCACCATGTGGATGCTGGGAACTGAACCCAGGTCTTCTGCAAGAGCAGCCAGTGCTCTTAACTAACTGAGCCTTCTTTCCAGCCCCCTTAAATGCATTAAAAAAAATAGCCCTAGCTGGTCTGGTACTTTTTTTGTGGCCCAGGCTAGTCTTGAACTCTCAACAATCTTCCTGCTTAAGCCTCCCAAGTACATGTGCCAACCAACTGCAAAAATGTTTTAATTCAGTGAGTGACCTAAAGGGCCTGTGAGGTGGAATACTGTTTCCAGACCTGACATAGTCATTGCTGTCTTGAACTCAGATGTGATGATCCACAGGAGACCTTCACTAGATAGGGCCACCTATTCCCTCATTTGGAGCATATGAGTGGCTCCTCTCCTCCCCAAGGATACATAAGCTGTTAACACTTGCTGGGAGGAAGACTTTTCAGTGGTGTGGCTGCCTATATATTGCCCATGCTCCTGTTAGTAACCCCAATTAAACTTATTGGTTCACCAAGATGGACTTGAGGGGAGTTGTTTCTTTGGCCTATCTCCTATCTGCAGTAAATAGATATCCATTGATGGCTCCCCAGGAAAAGTCACATTAATAGTCTGACACTCAAAGCTTTGCCTTCCGCTGTCAAAGTTGTTCCTGGGTGGTGTCTGCACCTCAGGGAGCAAAGGTCACCCCTGCCCTCTGCAGAGCAGTGTTCCTGAATGTTCCCCCTGTACCCCAGGTGGTGGTTCTCTGGGCAGATGCCTCATCTCATCTCCTATTCCTTTACCCTTCCCAGCCTCCCCACAACACTAGGACCACCAATCTGGCCTGAAAGACCAGCCAGGGTTCACAGGGGTCCTCTTTTGGTGGCAAAAGAGGCCCTATACAATTGGTGCCTTGATCTCTTTACATGTCCTGAACAAGCTGGGAGAAAGCTCTTAATAAACCTCCACCAGGGACTGTGTGGGCAGGTCCCAGAGGACCTGCTTTTGTTACTAAATGCCTATGGCTGTAAGCAGGGACACCAAGCAGCCAGCATCTGAGGTGGCTTTAGTCAGTGGACCTCTCAGACCCTCTTAGAGTTCTCAGATTTGGTCAGTGAATCTTCTTCCATCTTTGGGGATAAGCTATTGCCACTTTACCATCCTTCCCTGAACTGTATTCTTCCCTGGCTTGGGTCTGGCCTGGCTGACCTTCCACCCTCCACAGGCAACTGGCCACCACTCACCGTCTCCGCATACACCACCATGTTGCCCTGCTGGAGCAGCTGTAGATCCTTGCTGTCTGTGACATTGCCGAGCCACATGCAGATTCGGAGGTGGGCTGGGAGTGTGTCCTTCTGCCCTTCACCTTCTGGGTACTGAGTCAGAGGCAGGTCAGTCCCATTGGGGTGCCAGTCCCCAAGGAAGGAGGAGCCACTTCCCCCCAGAATGGGTCATGCCAGCCCCTTCTCCACAGGGACCCTCACACCAAACTAGGTGCTGGAGTCAAAAAGTCTACAATAGCATAAAACCCTGCATTGATCCCCCGCACTGAAGAGAGTTTTGTCCCATTATTTAGAGTGGGAGATGACAGGCAAATGATTACACAGAAAAGGAGTGGGGTGGGAGAGATGGGTGAGGCTGCCTGGGGCACCAAAGTACTAACAGTGGTGATATATCTTTTGCTGCCTGCTTGCCCATTTTGTGACAGTACTTTGCTAAGTGCCTTGATCCTCATATCCCATGGTAACGGTGTCACCAGGCCCACTAGACTGAGTAGCAAACTGAGGGTCAGGAGTTGGTCTAGGTCACACAAGCAGTGAGTAGTAGAGCCAGATTCAAGCCACAGTGGCCTGGGCCTTGCATGATGGTGGAAAGGGCAAAGAGCAGGCACATTTGGAATCTGGGAGGCCCAGAGTAGCCTGTCTGCTGACAGGATTGATATGGGTGGCAAGGGCAGACCAAGGAGGCTGCACCTTCTCTAGGAGGCAATAGGGAGCCATGTGGAGGGTCTCTGAGGACTCTCTTCCTCCCCAAAGGAGAAGGCCGTCATCAGGGCTGGGTGCTCAGGGTTTCAGTCAGTCTTGTGTTACAGCTGGCTTCTGACATGAGAGGCTGGTACCCAAACCTTACAGGCAGTGAATATTCTGGAGGTCACCCAAGTCATGGTTCACAGGAGAAATGACAAGGGACTAGATTACGTGGTAGCTGTGAGGGTGATGGAGGAGATGGATTTGAAAAGCATTTATCAGGGATGTAGGCTTGGCAGCAGTCCAGATACCAAAAAACACAGGCCCCTACTTTCCTCTGGGGACTGTTTGAGCCCCGGTCTACATAATGCAGGGGCTAGGGAAAGAGCAAGTGGGCGCCCTTGGGGAGGCAACCTGGGGCTGTCCTGAAACCCTAGAGAGAACCCTGAGGATTCCTGCTTCCCCACCTGAAAGAGGAGGTTCTGAATCTTCCCACAGAACTTGCCGGAGTGCTGGGCTCCCCCTGGGGAGAATAAGACCGTGTGGGCGGGCACCCGAGCATAGGCCACTCTCTGCTCCTTAGCCATCAGCCAGATCATCACATCAGGGAGGCTTTCCTGGGGCTATTGAGGTAGAAGAACATCAGGATCTATGTGACCACCTCCCAGCCCTGCTGCCTGGCCAGTGTGTGCAGTGCCCACCTCAGGGAGCACAGCATTGAGGCGATGTAGCCATCCCTCCACTGTGGCCACTATGTTTCTGGGCTGAGCTTCCTTGGCCTGTTGTGCTAGTTCCTGTAGGAGGAGACTGCGGAGTTTCCACTTTTTCTTGTCCAACTGGGTGGCTTTGGGCTGATCGGTCATACAAGGCAGAGGGCACCTGTGGCCAGGACAAGGGAATAGGGGTTAGACCACCGTTCTGTCTCCATGTCTACCTCTGGTCCTCTGCAGGTCTTAAGTGTCCTTTCTAGCCTGGAGCCCCTGCCCCAACCAAGTTTGGTCTGGCCTGAGGAATCCTGCCCACCTTGCCTTATGAAGCTAGCTTACTGTGGGCCTCATTCGGGCTCTCACCCAGCCCTCTCTCTTCCAGCCCTGCAGTGTGCCAGGCTGGTGTTCAAGGACCTCTTGTGGGAAGGGAGGTGTTTGTCAAGGAGGGGACTAACCAAACCTTTGTCTGGTGTAAGAGAGAGGCTTTCCCATGAGTCCCCTGGAACAAGCAGAGTCCAGAGGAAGGTAAATTAGATGGGAGGAGCAAATGAGGAGAGGCGTGGACCTGGGATAGTGTGAGCTGGTCTAGGTGGTTGGGTGCTGCTGGTATACTAGGGACATTGGGCGTGCATGAGGGGCAACAGAGTCTGTGCTAGGCAGGAGCTCAGGGCTGTTTTCAGATTATGTGGGAAGGAGAAGCAGCTGTGTCTGAGTTCACCTTGGGGAAGGTTTGAGCAGAGCTCATACTTCCTATAGGGGAAGGTTCACTAAGTGCTACTCAGAGCCTTCAGCTTCTCTTATAAGCCTGACCTAGCTCATCCCAGGCCCATCCCCAGCCAGGGTGCCCCACTCCTACTGGCAGTCCTCTGTCAACTCTGTCAGCAGCTTCTTCCACTGTTGGAGTAGTGCTGGGTCCCTCGGATTTCGTATGGACTTTAGGGTGTCCAGGTTGGCTTTCTGCCCAGTGGGAAAGAAAGGGAGAGAGCTGGCTTCAGCATGGAACTCTTCTGGGACAGGCTGAAAGGCTGATGGGCCCAAGATGGTTTTAGCCAGGACCTGGAGATCTTTGAGAGGTAACCTGGTGATTATCAATCAAGGCTGTCACACGCCCTTGCAAAACTAAGACACTCTTCCTCCTTACCTCCTGCTACCCAACAGAAGAAATGGGTGGTAGGGGGATCAAGCAGTGTGGAGTCCCAACCCCTGAGCTGCAGATATGAGAAAGTCATGTTTAAAGTGGAGGTACCATATATAAGTGCTCCATGACAAGTACCTAACACTGTGATGCAACCCTTCCCAGCCTCTCCAATTTGCATGGTACATCCATGTTTCCAGCTCCTTTTACACCTTCAAAAACTGGCACATCATGGCTGGAGAGATGGCTCAGAGGTTAAAAGCACTTGCTTTTACAGAGGACCTGGGTTCAGTTCCCAGTACCCACGTGGCATCTAACAATCAATGGTAACTCCAGTTCTGGGGGATGATCCAGTGCCTTCTTCTGGCCTCCACCGGTATTGCACACACATGGTGTACTTACATACATGCAGCAAAACACTCATTCACATAAAAATAATTTAATTTTTTAAAAAATCTGGAAAATCACCATGACTTTGTGCTTATTGTTACTTTTGTCCTTTCATCTCCCACAGACTCCTATGAATTCTTCAAATCTCTCTTGCCATGCCATCACCTGACTGCTCTCTTCATTCCCCTATCCCCATCCCTCTGATCCTAAATCTCTTGGCACCTGTATTTCTACGGCAACCTAATGAAATCCAGTTTCATTGCGCAGTAACGTGCACATCTTACTCCCCCAACCTGTAAGGACAAGTCTGTGTTTATTCATCTTATGTCTTCAGTGCTGTATCTGGGTATACAGACACAGAGAAGTGAATCCCCACTTCTCAATGGTGTGGGGGTTCAACAGCAACAGTGTGGAGTACATGAATGCATGGTGTGACTGGTCTTCCTAGAACTGCAATGTGGCTTCCTGAACCTCTCATCCACTGCACCCTTCCTGCCTGGCTCCTTTGTGCACACTCACCAGGCGATCCCGTGTGATGTGGAGGAGGTTGAGGCAGTTCATTCGGAAGTTGACGTCCTCCCAGTTGGAGGTGATGGCTACCACAGGCTTTGTGTTGTACCAGGGCACATAATGGTAGATGTTCCCTGAGACACAGAGACACAGGACAGAGGGGGATGTCTGAGGGATCATGGAAGACCCCTCTTACTGTGTTCTCCTAAAGGATTACCCTTAGGCTACCTCTTTCCTCAAGGATGTAATCTGCTAACCATGTTAACTGGACCCTCCAGCCCGAGTCCAAAGTGAATGCTTGGATGAACACAATTGACTCCTATCGGGCATCTATCAAGCTTAGTGTGTCACATGGCCTTTCAAAGTCCCTGGTTTACAGGTAGGAAAATCCAGGCTAGCCATGGGAAGCAGTTTTCCTGAGGTAGCTCTGCCAGGAAATAATAACCCAGGCTTCTGGTACCAGGATCCATTACTGGAGCCTCAGGTGAGATGTGTAGACCAAGGACATGCCCAAGGTACAGTATCCCTTCTGGGTGATCTGAGAGGTTGAGGAGGAGAGGGTCTTAAGTCCAGGGAGTGCAGAGAACAGGGGCGAGGAGAGTAAACCATGATGGGACTGGCTGACTAAGCTGGCCCTGGCAGTGTTCTTTACTGAAACAATGATTGGGATGTAGCTCGGTAGTATTTCTACTCTGAGGTAAGTATTTTTCTATCCTGAACAAGGCCCTAGGTTCCATCTCCAGCACCTCAAGAAATGAGGGGAGTTGGTAGTTGAAGCATAAAGATTCCTATAGTGCACTGCTGTGTTGGCCTCAAAGAAACAAATTCGCAAAAGCCCCAAATGTTTAAGCAGCAGAATGCCTGAGGCCAATGGAACTGAGAGCTTACTTTTGGCAGACCTTGGAAAACCTATGCATCTTCTTTGGCAACTGCAGGACATAAGGGGCAAGAGAGGAAGCTGGGTGCTGCCCAGCATGGGCAGTCTAGCAGGATGTTCCATGTGTTATGGGCTGAACTGTGTCCTCCAAAAGCTATGTTGAGGTCCTAACCCACAACCTCAATATGTGACCTAACATAGAAACAGGGTAGCTCTGAAGATGTAACTAGTCAAGATGAGGTCACTGTGGAGTAGGGTAAGCCCTTAAGCCAATATGAACAGAGGCAGAAAGATGGCATCCATGTGAACACCCAGTGCTACAGAGAGAATACCTTGGAGCCAGAGGCAAAGAATGGAATGATGCATCTGCCAGATAAGGAATACCAAGGTTGCCCTCAGTGCCTTCCCAGAGAATCCACCCTCACGCCTCACTTCCAACTTCCACCCAACAGACCTATTGTTTTATTTAAAACTATTAAAATTTATTTATTACATGTATATGTGTGTGTATGGTGTGTGTGTGTGTGTGTGTGTGTGTGTGCAGGTGTGTAAATGCCACAGCATTTGTGTGGAGGTTAGAGGCCAACTTTCAGGAGTCAGTTCTCTCCTTCCACCTTGTAGGTTCTAGGGATCAAACTCAGGTCTTCAGGCTTATATGGCAAGTACTTTTACCTACTTAGCCAACTTGTCAGTTCCAGATCTATTTTCATTTTGTTTTGTTTTGTTTTTGAGAGAGTCTCCTTGTAGCCTCAGCTTGCTTGGAACTGTCTGTGTATGTGTAGAACAGCCTGGCCTTGATCTCCCAGAGATCTGCCTGCCTCTGCCTCCTGAGTGCAGCAACTGAAGGCATGTACCACTACACGCAGCCCCAGACCTATTGTTTTAGGCCACCCAGTTTCTGAGACTATGTAAATGTCCATCCTAGGATTCAAATCTAGTACTCTAAAGACTCTCCTCTCAGGGGTGAGGGTGAATAAAAGATAGCCCAGAAGGGGCCAGTGAGGCTGCCTGCCTGTCTCCATTGTGGCTCTAGGTAGAGGGGAAGAAAATCTTCAGCATTCTACCTACCAGTGAAGTTTCAAGAATGCCAAGCAAACAATTTAAAAGTTGTCCCTGGTTTGCCATGACCCAGGTCACTAGAGAAAGCAATAGACAATCCTTCCTGGAGAATGAAACTTGAGCCAAACTTCAAAGAATTCCCACAAAATCAAGAGAAAATGAGCAGTTTAGAAACAATACACACATTCCCTAACCCAATAATTCCAACTCCTCTGTAAACACTCCACAGGAAGGCATAGATGACATTTCTATGAGATGTGTAGAAAAAGGTTCACAGCAGTTCTAATTAGAATAGCCCAAAGTTAGATACAGCTAAAGTAGCTCTCTACAGTAGAAGGGATAAATTAATAATGGTAATCAACCATCCCTCCATATGGTCATGGAATTGGCTCCAAGATAGTCTGTTACCAAAACTCACAGATGCTCAAGTCCTCTATATAAAACATATAGCATTTGTATGCAACTTACCCACATATCCCTTATGATGAGATCATTTCTAGATGGTTTATTAGACCTAAAGCAGAGCAAATGCTAAGCAAAGTTGTTATACTGCTATATTGCATTATTTAGGGGATAATGCAAAGAAAAATGGTCAGCATATGTTCAGCACAGATGCAAGTTTGTTTGATGTGTGTAGTGTGTGTATATGTGTCTGTGTGTGTCTGTGTCTATGTGTGAATGTGGTACATATATGTGTGTTCAAGTGTGTGTGCCTGTGCACGGTGGGGGGGACAGAGGAGGGTGTGAGGTGTCCTTTTCACCACCTACTTCTTTGAAGCAGGGTCTCTCCCAAAACCTGGATGGAGCTCATGTTATTTGGCGAGGCTAGAAGCCAGCAAGTCCCAGCAATCCTCCTGTCTCTACCCCACTTGGTGCTGAGGTTATAGGCATATACAAGACGCTGGCTTCTTATGTGGGTGCTAGGATCCCAACTCCAGTCCTCCTGCTTACATAACAAGTACTCAACCACTCCAGCCTTTTAGTACTTTTGATCTCTGGTTAGTTAAATCTGAAGATGTCTATGGATACACATAGTTGACTATATTCATACAATGGAATATTACACAGCAGTGAGAGTGAATGAGCTATACCCAATACTCTCTAGATCTATGAATACATTTCACAAATAAACTGATGAGCAAAGAAGGCAGATGAAAAAAAGGAATACATATAACTTTTAAATAAAAAGCAGAAAAGATGAGACGGAGGTTAGTAGAATGATTCCCCTTGGTGGGGGTGAGGGTAAGAGGCACAGGTCCCCTAGCATATAGTATTCTACCTTATGATCTGAGTGTGATCATCCATATGTTTGCTTCAAGATTAGTCACTGAACCTCATGCTATGGTTTGTGTAACTTTCCATAGGTATGTTACCCTTGAATCAAACATTTACTTTAGTAATTGAAAAACAGTGAGGGCTCTGCTAAGCACCTCAATGGAGGAAACCACACAGCTATTTCTCAGTCCCAGGGGCTGGTGGTTGGCTTTGAACTGATGTTGACTGTTGATGCTTATTTGCTGAATAACTATAATTTATCATTTGTGTCACACATTAAAAAGAAAAATAATGAGGGCCGAAAGGACAAGCCCAACATGCACAATACAGTGTGTGGAATGTCAAAGTGCCAGGGAGAAGAAAACAGTGGGGGAAGGGGATGCTGCCAAGCCATTTAAAACAGAATGGTTACCTCAGGCCACAGAAGATAGAGACGTCTCCCAATGCAGCCTAGCAGGATAAAAAATATGAGATTTGAGAATACGGGTGGGGGGAGAATAAGAAGGATAGCGTGAGTTCTAGAATGAAGCATAAGAGAAAAAGAAGAAGAAATAATTTGCAAAGAGAAAACATTTTAGACTCTTCCAGGATTGCTGAGAGACACTCGACTCAGATACTTGAATGAATGGGCAATAGGATAAATAAGCAGAGATCCATGACCCTGGTTCTTAGTAGGTGCCTGGGATCCAAGATGGCAACTTTCTTCTTCTGTTCTTGGAGCGCTTACAAAAGCAATAAGAAGGAAAAACAAGTCCATTTCCAACAAATGAGGAGACAGATCTAATCTGTAGGCTTGAAATACACATAGAGACTGCCAAAAGCAACGGACGGTCGGCTTCCACAGAAGCACTGGGCACCTGGGAGGAAGTGGCTACCTAGACTCACAGTGGGAAGCACAGCTTGATGGGAGCAGATCTCAGAAAGTGCCAGCAAAAATACACTCCCTGAAGGAAGGGAAGGCACAGAGGAGGAAATGTGAGCTGATAGAACTTAGAAAACAGACAGAAGAAAAAACAAAAACACCAGAGAAATGCAACATGAGAAGTCTCAGGGAGATATTTAAACTTTGTGGACAATTCGAGGAGGGCTCTATGTAGAAATAGGGTAAGAGTAAGAAAGGTGACTGAAACGAGATGGGGAAACAGAGTCAAATAAGGATCAGGGAGAAAGTGATAATCAGGAAAAAACCAAGGCGAATCATTAAATCCATAAATGGAAACCCTGAAGGAGGAAAGTCAAGGACAGAGCAGAGTAAGTATTTTAACATATAATTTAGGAAAACTCATATAGAAACAGATAGAACTTTTAACAAGTGGGCTTGAGCAATCAGAGATCCATGGGCAAATTAATTCAAAATGGATCACAGAGGTAAATAGAAGAGCAAAACCTACATTTTTTGAAGAAAAAAGTAGGAGAAAAATCTTCATATCCTTAGGTTAGTCAAAGAGTTCCCAAATATGACCCAGTAAAAGAAAAAAATAGGGGCTGGAGAGATGGCTCAGGGGTTGGGAACACTGACTGTTCTTGCAGAAGACCCGGGTTCAAATCCCAGCACCCACATGGCAGCTAATGTCTATCTGTAACTCCAGTTCCAGGGGATCCGATAGCCTCTTCTGTCTTCCGTGGGCATTGCACAACACAGGCGCACTTAACCTTCATGCAGGCAATGCATGCATACACATGAAATAAAAATAAATAAAATATTAAAAAAAAGAAAAGCCAGGCGTGGTGATGCATGCCTTTAATCCCAGCACTTGGGAGGCAGAGGCAGGCAGATCTCTGTGAGTTCAAGGCCAGTCTGGTCTACATAGTGAGTTCCAGGACAGCTGGGGCTACAGGGAGACCCTGTCTCAAAAAGACCGAAAAAAAAAAAAAGAAAAAAAATGAACTGAATCTGATCCAGATTTAAAATATTTGCACTAA